TCAGTTTTTAGTGCCGAACCCAAAACGATTATAGATCTACTGCGGATTGAAAAAAATTGGGGATGGGGTGGCCTATTTAAAAACTATCTGCTACGGCTGCCGCAGGTGAAATGTGCAAGCTTCCCCATTTATTACCCCTTCAATGTTTTAAAATCTCTTTAAACATAATTTAAAAAATGAATTTAAAAGAAAGAATGTTTCTTTAAGATAAATATAGTTGGACAGTTGTACTGTTAGATTATAGTTTACTAATACTAACAGCACGTGGTTTCAAATGGTACGGAGACACAACAAAATGACCATCACCCCCAAAAGCTTTGCACTGATTGGCTGAAGCAGAGAGCAAAATAAAATAAAAAAATTGTATCGAATTTACCGAAAAAAGTTTTTATCGAATTTCCCGAATGTATCCATGGTCGCCCGCAGGTAGGGGCAGGGTGGGGCACTTGCCCCCCCCCTGGATTGATTGGATTTAAAAAATTTAGACAAAAAAATGTATTAAAGTAAAGAGAAAATAAAGAGAACGTAACTAAGCTGATGACCTGTCCGTTCGTTCACCACACAGTAAATTAAAACTATATTAAAACATTATTAAAAAGTTTTTGCCCCCCCCCCCACCTGGAAAATTAATCGATTTTTTTGCCCCCCCCCCCTAGAAAGTTTTCTGCGGGCGCCACTGAATGTATCTTTAGCGGTTACCGGAAATTTGATCGAAAGAAATTTCGTTGACGGTAAATTGATCGACGGAAATTGGACCAAATATGTTTTTTTTCAGTTCACACGTTAAAAATGTTCGTCAAATTTCTTTTTGAACGCACTATACTATATAGTAAAACAAAATAATGCGTTCAAAAAGAAATTTGAAGCAGAATTTTAACGTTAAAATAGAAGAATAGATTCGACCAAATTTTCGTTCGATCAAATTTCGGTCGATCAATTTACCGTCGACGAAATTTCTTTCGATCAAATTTCCGCGTACGATCTTTACCAGTGGCTCTCAACCTGTGGGTCAATCGACCCTTACACAGGGGTTGCCTAAGACCATTGGAAACGCGCAAATTTATGAAGTAGGCCCGGCAACGAAAATAATTTTATGTTTTGGGGGTGTCACCACAACATGAGTAGCTGTAGTTGAAGGGTCGAGGCATTAGGAAGGTTGAGAACCACTGATCTATACGATCTCGATGAGATAAACGGAGGGCTTCAAAATCCTTATCCGACTCAAAATTTAAACTTAAAAAAGTAATGTTAGTACAGAGTTGCTGATTTTTTTTCTTCTCCTTAATAAAACTTAAACTGTGTATCAAATAGTCACAATAGTCCAAATTTTGTTAAGCTGTACACCAGTTTTAAAATGAATATTTCTCGACTGCCAGGCATTGACTTAAAAGCCCATGGCCGGCAACCCAAACCGCACGCCTCCGTAACTCTGCATGCGGTTCTTTGAGGAACTAGCTGCGGCTCTATTTTATACTTATTTTTAATGACTGCGGCTACCAACATATTCTCCAAACAGATATAATTTATCAGAATGGATCCACTAAAAATATAAATATAGATGGATGCATATAAACGTTGCCGATCCCTGACTGGGACAGTGATGGGGGTGTGGTCTTTGTGTTCACTTGGACGTCATGTCAAGGAGAGGCTACTTCGATATCCACGTCAGATTAGGATTAAAAGGAAAGTAGAGGAGTCTTAAACATGTTTTTTTTTAATCCCCTAATATCGGAATCTGTTAGATCAGTCCATTTGTATCGGAGATTGAAAATGCCCCCCCCCCCTTTTTGACGATGACATCAACCATGGCAGCAGACAATGGTAGCAGAAATCAGGAATTAATGTATTTAACAAAAATTAATGGTTAACAAAAAAGGCAACTGTTACTATTGAGGATATTGACCAGCAGCCTGTTTCATTTTTTTTTTTTTTTTTTTTAACTTGACTTGGTTGACGGTTCAAAAAATTTTTAAGACAATTTTCAACCAACTTCCATAGATCTTAATTAAAAAAATGTTGAAATTTGATGAGTAGCCTATGACTATCAATGTGCAACATCGTTCACCAATAAAAAATCAACTGCCACCCCCACACACCCTCTCTCTCCCACACCCTCTCTCTCTCCCACACCCTCTCTCTCTCTCCTTCTCCTNCCCCCACACACCCTCTCTCTCTCCCACCCTCTCTCTCTCCCCCACCCTCTCTCTCTCTCTTTCTCCTTCTCCTTTTCTCTCTCTCTCTCTCTCTCTCTCTCTCTCTCTCTCTCTCTCTCTCTCTCTCTCTTAGCGTTATAAAATAAAAATGAAGGGGAACAATCGAGTTCAAGGTGAAATTTAATTTTGTCGTTTCCCTTACAATTATGTAAGAGACTTTTGAGTAACTTTTATGCATTGGATTAATTTGTTTAAAGAAAGAACGCAAATAAAGTAACACTTTATTTCAAAGGAGAAACATATTTAAAGATAAATTTAACCAACTTTCCCGAGTTCTAAGCAGCTGGAATAATATGAAATTGTCTTTCACACGCATTTAATTTTAAAACTCTGAGAACTTAATTATTGCTCCAGTAAGTCCAGTTACTTGTTCTTTAGTTGTTAATAAAACAATTAACAGACTTAAACCGTAGGCTAAATATTTCATTTTCAATATTATAATTTTTAATTAACCTTATAAACATTTAAAACGCGTTGGAGCAGTTAGCAATCAATTCAAATGTAGGCTAAATGAAGATGCAACTAAATATTTTGATTTGAAATTTAAAAACTATTAAATTGTGTAAAGTAAAAATAATCTGGCTTGAGTTAAAACCTACTAAAGAGCTATTGAGCCTATTATTAACCATCAAATTAATATAAATGCAATCTATTTTTAACTGTCATACAAGCACAGGCGGAGATACTCAATCAGCAGTTCCAGTCGGTCTTTGGTGACGGTAGAGAGTACTCTGAGACTGAGTTCCTTCTGAAGACCAAAATGATGAACAGAGCCTATCCTATCATGGGAGATATCCAGATATCAGAACAAGGTGTGTTTGCCCTCCTCAATACCATTAACCCTTACAAAGCATGTGGTCCTGACAACATTAAACCACGAGTGCTCAAAGAATTAGCCAAAGAAATCGCTCCTGCACTGACAATCCTCTTCCAATCGTCACTATGCACAGGAAATGTTCCAGCAGACTGGAGAACAGCGCATGTCACTCCAATTTACAAGAAAGGGGAGCATTCCGACCCTGCCAACTATCGTCCGATATCCCTCACTAGCGTCGTCTGCAAATTGTTGGAGCACATAATCGTAAGCTCTGTCATGAAGCATCTTGAAAGCAAAAATATACTCAATGACTGTCAACATGGCTTCCGAGTCAATAGGTCATGTGAGACCCAGCTTCTCGAATTTGTAGAAGACTTGATGACCAATCTGGAGAACCACAAGCAGACTGACGTGCTAGTAATGGACTTCGCAAAAGCATTTGACCGGGTGAATCATAGTTTGCTTCTACACAAACTCCAGAGATATGGGATTCAAGGCACCACTAAAACATGGATCTCTAGCTTCCTCAGCCACCGACGCCAAGCAGTAGTGGTGGGCGGTACAAGCTCCTCCTTTGTCAATGTGAAGTCAGGGGTCCCCCAGGGATCAGTCCTGGGCCCCTGTTTGTTCCTAGCATACATTAATGACCTACCGGAGAAACTGACATCACAGGCAAGACTGTTTGCAGATGACACAGCAGTGTATAGGACGATCGCCAACAGATCTGACCAGGACCAGCTACAACAGGATCTCAATCTGTTAGCTGAGTGGGAGATGAGCTGGGACATGGAATTTCACCCTGCCAAGTGCCAGACACTATCAATCTCTAGAAGTTGTACTCCTCTACACTACCAATACAAACTGCACGGCCATATTCTTGAGCAAGTTTCCTCCGTAAAGTACCTGGGTGTTACCATTCAAAGAGAGGTCCGCTGGGACGAGCATATTAACAATGTATGTAACCAAGCAAACCAAGCCTTGGGGTTCTTAAGGCGAAATCTAAAGATTGGCAACTCCTGTGTGAAAGAAAGAGCATATAAAGCCTTTATCCGTCCGATTTTAGATTATGCATCTTCAGTCTGGGACCCATTTACCCAGAAGAGCATTGACAGGTTGGAGGCGGTCCAGCGACGAGCAGCACGCTTTGTCCTAAACCGCTACAGGAATACCTCTAGTGTTGGCAGCATGCTAGAAACACTAGGCTGGTCACCATTGGAGAAACGACGACGACAATCCAGGCTCTCCATGATGTACAAGATAAATAATGGGCTGGTCCACTGTTCCAGTATTAAACAGAAACTCGTCCCTCTCCCCCATAGACAGCGACGAGGCCATGACAGGCAATTCAGGCTCATACCAGCAAGAAGCCAGTATAGGAGCTGCTCATTCCTGCCCAAGACAATCAGGGACTGGAACCATCTTTCAAAAGGAACAGTTGAGGCGACAACACTAGACACATTTGTGTCTATTGCCTCAAGCCTTCAAACCCCTAGTGCATAATTTCCTCATCACCACCAGTAACAGAAACATTGCAAATCCCATCTACATGCATAGGAGCCAAAATGATCAATAAATTGATCGTGGGCCCTTAAGATATAGAAGAAGAAGACTATAATTCGATTATATATTATTGCGAATTAAGACATTTTGTAGCAAAAAAATTTGTGTAAAAAAAAATCCTCAAAAGACTTAAGTTTGCAGTCACTTAATTTAAATTATCACCGTTTGAGTTTTATTGAGAGAGTAGGACATCTCCTTGTATGGCCTTATTTACTTATTTTCTTTCATCTGTTCACTACCGCAGGTAAAAGTATTATTTTAAAATTTAACGACTATGCCATTTTTTAAGTAATATAATAATTTATTTAATAACACCATGAAAAAGTATACGAATTAAATTTAATGGAACCTTTTTCAAATTACACCGACAATAAGAGGCCATTTTGTAAATGACGTAATTGAATGGTACACTCTGCATCAACAATGGCGTCCCCTAATATGTGATACACGGGGATGAAAAATGTTGAAAACGGGGGTTCATTTTTCATCTAAAGATGGCGGCGCCCATGAAAGTTCACATGAAACTAAAAACACATTAACAATATTCAAGAAAAGTGATACGATCAACGAGAATAATTCACCTTGTTATTCCGACACCAATAGCTCATCAGCGATCGGCCCTGCATTTCATATTGAGTATGGAAAGTTTGAAGTTTCAGACCCAGCGTCATACATTGAACTACATTTGGAACAAGAAGATTCTGAAATTGATTCTCATTCAATGCAAGTGGAAGAAGAAAATGAAATTGGAAACAATCAGGGTCTGGATTGGCTAAAATCAAACGCTAACACCTCAGATGTGGACATGCTAGAAATGTCTAATAAAGATTGTACGTTAATGCCTACTATGGGGCTAGATTCCCATTCCCTTATTGGGGGATCAGATGCAGATCTGTCATCAGAAAATTTGGACTATGTGTTTTCAAAACAACATAACTATTTTGAAGTTCTAGATGGTGGAGAATATGTTACTTCACTTAGTAATTTTGCTGGCCAAGCAACAATAAACTGGGGCAGTCAACATACTCAACAATTAGTTGCAAATGCAGATTCTTGCCACCAACTTTCACTCTCTACTGATACAAATAATTGTAGCGCAAATGATCCTGTGGGGTCGTTTGTATCATTTCCAGATACTGGTGATATATTAGAGGAACCATTAAATAATACTTGTAATGTAAGTTCTAATGAAATAGATTTGAACAGTATGCTTTTTGAAAATATTAACAAATCTGAGTCATCAGCAGTAAAAGTTGTACAATTTTCACCAAATGCCACAAGTTTTATCACTGGAAATTTGAATAGTGAGTCTCATACTGATAATGCACTTTCAGGCTCCATATTAAAAGCAGTACCTTTATCAATAGCCGGATCTATGCCTATACCTGAAAATATTTCCATAACTAATCTACACGATGTTAACACTGACCTAAATTTAAATAGTCTACCTAACTTCTTAGGACTGGAAAACAGTCAGTGTCATACTCATAGTTTCACAACCCCTTCAATCAGTAGTGATTATATTGACAGCCAAACTGTAGTTAACATTTTGCAGGGCTTAACCCCAGCAATAAGTCAGCCAGAAAATGGTATTAAATTTGAAAATAGTACCTCACGGTTAATACAAGACCATCATCTGGCACATCAAAGCCTCAGTGTTACAACTATATCCATTTCAAATGATGATGAAAATGCCACCAAAATATTAGTTGATAGCCATCAAGGGCAGCAACAAATGTATGTGATAAAAACAGCAGACTTAAATCAAACATCTTCAACAAAACTAAACATCAACCAAGGCCAGCAGATGTTTGTTATAAATGCATCAGATCTGAAGCAAGAGCAAACCGCTTCATTCAGCGTTGAGACTGTGGATCCAACCAGAGCACAGACAGACACTGTTGTTCGAAACTCACAATCCATAAACATTCCAGCCTCTGGAATTCCTGGTAATAAGCCTAACTATTAATAAATAAACAACATTATTAAAAATTCATAAGTCTAAGCCTACAACAAAATTTGAATAGTTATCATAATGGAGCTAAGATAACTTTAACTTTTAGCTTTGTGTACAATTTATTTAAAAATTAATTTCTATCAACAAATCAATCCATGAATGAAGTATTGACTTTTTTCACAAAAAATTGAATGTGTTTGTAGCTTGCTTTAAATAAAAATTTCTGTGAACTGGTTTGTTAGCTAATACTAATGTTAACTCTCTAATTCACTGAAATATGAGAGTCAGTGTTGTATAAGATAATTGTGTCTTTTGATATTGAAGAGTTAACCAGATTTATAAACACATTATTTCTTTCCTTCAGGAATTGTATTCATGCCTGTTACTGTTGTTGATAGTGCAAAAAATGTTATCCAAACAGTGCCGCTGCAAATAGTAGAAAATGAAGACACAAAGGTAAAACTCATGTTTGTAAAAAATAAATCAAAATGACAAACATTTAATCATTCTTTTTCTTTCAGTGTTTCATTATATTATAGTTGTTTCATTATAATATAAATTAGCTTCTACGAATAATACGTTTGATTATTTTTAAACATACAATTTTATTTAACAAGTCCATGTATAGTAATTGTTACATACCATCTTTTTTAATTTTTAAATTGAAATTTATTTCATTTACCAAATGAATTCATTCCAAATATTTTTTGAATTTGCAGAGATCTAAAAAACTGTTGATGTGTTCAGAACCAGGTTGCAGAAAAACATTCAAGAAAGCATCTAAACTGAAAGTTCATCAGATGCTGCACACTGGCGAGAGGCCTTTTAAAGTTAGTAAAACAAAGTTAAAATTATTCTAGTTTATTGACGCCCTGGAACTAAGTACATAATTTGCCCTTTTACTAAAATAGTTTTAGTTAAGTGTATCTTTCTATTCTCTTTATTTTGCTGTTGAAGCTTCTTAATCTAAATATCCATTGCTTTATTTTGTGATCTTTGAGGTTTTCCCCATCTCTGTGTGTTTTATTACATAATGGAGTTAGGGTTAGCTTTATAATTTATTTTAATTTTAATATTTCTTTATTTAAGAAGCTAGACCATCATCTCTCTAAGGCGAACAGATATCAATACAGCAATATTTATGTATTTATTAATACATATATATATATATATATATATATAGATCTATATATATATACAGATACAATGTTTTTGCACAAATTACTAATGCAGAAACCAAAACTACATTGAAAAAAGGAAACAGAAATTTTGTTATAAATAAGTTTCAATTTTCACCTTAGTGCAATTGGTTAGGTTGCGAATGGGCTTTCACCACGTCAAACAAGCTTAAAAGACACTTGGAGTCTCATGAAGGTCGTAAAGATTATGTGGTAAGACTTGGTTTATTGATACTCTTAAATTGAGTTTTAAATGGGATAAAGCATAAAATTTGATCAGTTTAGATTCTGAATCTCAACAATGATTGTTCTATATATTCTTTAGATGCCATATACTTGAAATTATTATTTGAGTTTATTGCTGATTGACAGTAATTAGTAATAGAATAATTTAAATTTGTTAATTCAAATTTATTTCAGTGTGATAAACCAGGATGTGGTCATAGATTTACAACAATTTACAACTTGAACACACATCGCAAGCTTCATGAGAGACCATGTACAGAACTATGTCCAAAAAATGGATGTCATGAGAGCTTCCCAACTAAAAAGCAACTTGATATACATTTACGAAATGTCCATGCATTTGAAGATAGAACTTTCAAGTAAGTTCCATGGCATTTATGACAAAATGTTTCAGTAAAAAAATTTACAAATAAAAGTGCTAATTTTTGGCCTTAAAATCATGAGATATAATAACAACAAAAAACACTAATAAATAATTTATTGGCTATGAACTTTTAACTAAACAAAGAAAGTTATGTAAGCAGATTAACTTTTTTGCTTTATTAAAAATTGTATCTTAGATGTGACATGAATCAAAATTTTATAAAAAAGAAATAATTTATAAGATTAACTAGGATTACAATCCTTGCCTACCTATCAATATACTATCATCCAAAGCACATGATTTAGGCTAGTATTAGTAATTATGATATTATTTGTTCATATTTTGTGACATGTCTCTCATATGAACTTTTTCAAACAAAAACCAACATTATAATGACCACCACAGGTGTCCTGAACCAGACTGTGAAAAGGTTTTCTTTTCCTCTGGCTGTATGGGGTCCCACATGAGAATACACCAGCAGAACTTGGAGGATTTGCGTTGTAAATATCCTGAATGTGGAAAGGAATTTACCAAGACTTGTAGGCTCAAGCAGCATGAAAAGCTTCACACAGGAGAGAAACCTTTTGCATGTGACTTTCCGGTTAGTTCTCACTTTATTATCTACTTCTTTCTTTCAATGCTAATGCTAAGTTAATTAGTTTGAATTTGAAAAAATTTTGTCCCTGAGTTTGAGTAGTTACCTGTTTTCTTCTCTTTTATAGGGCTGCAATTGGGCTTTTGCAACAGTCAGTAAATTAAAACGGCATCAAACTAAACATACCGGTGTTAGAAAATGGGCATGTCCTATGTGCAGGAAACAGTTTCATAGATCAGAACACCTTAGAGGACATTTGATCACCCACAGTGGGGATAGACCATTTGTTTGTCCAGTAGAAGGTAAGATATCAATAAGCTAAAATGTGTCAAAGCAATATTTTGAAATGGTGCATTGATTGTATACGTTTTTGTGTTTTATATGTTTTATTTTTAATGGAGGTGTAGAAAGACTTACCTATTTCATTCCTTCCCAGGTTGTGGTAATACATTTACAGCAAAAAGCAGCTTATATGTACATTTAAAAAAACATGATGAATCAGGCAAGACCATTGTATACCATTGCCCAATGGAAAAATGCGAAAGACATTATGCCAACAAAGCTAGTCTCAGGCAGCATATCCTAGTCAAACATTGCAATGTCCCACAAAGTAAGTGGAATTTTTTTCTCTCCATATTTGATTATTAAACCCTCTTTTTTTAAATTAAAAAATTGCTGTCATATTCTTCTAAAATTTCATTAATTTTGTTTTATGCTATCATTTAATTTGTTTACGTTGTTTTTTTTTGTTTTTTTAGATGAAAGCACATCAAGTACTCATGGTGCTTCCAATTGGTTGAGTCTACTTGGTCCAGGGGACCCTAACAATGAAATAAATTTTTCACAGGAATCATACACTGAAGGTATCTCAGAGCTGTACATTTGGCAATATTTTAAAATACACATATTTAATTACCAAGTGTTTATCTATACATCCATACATGTATGTCTGTATATCATACCTTAAATTAAGCACCAATCATTGTATTTTTTAATTATTTTTTAAAATCTGATAAAACCTCCAAATAAGACATTTGCATGTATCTCATAGTCAATATTTTTTATGCAGAAATTGTTCTATCACAGAAGTAAATATGATTAACTTAAAAACATCAACATGTTGCATTATATGTTAAAACTGTCATAACTCTGCTAACCTTTCATTTTGTAAATATTTTTTGACTTTTTGAAAATTCGGAGAGTGAGAAAGGGCAGAAATTTACACTAGGGGAAGCTGGGTATTGGAATTTGACATGTCTTAAGAGCACTTGAAATAACAGACCTGTTTACTCTTACGATTTTGGCGTACAATGTACGATTAAGAGATGTATTTTACGATTGTACACCGAAACCTGTCAAACTATGATTTTAAGAGACCGTTGGAAAATATATACATTCCAGTATTTTTTTTCCGATTAAACAAAATTATAATTAATTAAAAATTAAATTTTCAGTTGTTAGTTTTAATTAGCATTCTACATCCAGCAGTGAATGGATCCAAAAATACGATTGGCTGGAGACCATCTATAATAATACTATGTTTACCCTGAGAAGCAAATGGAGGTGTGTTGGTTTAGGAGATTTTGTGTATGGGGGGGGGGGGGGGTGGTCTAAGGGGGGGGGGGCAGGTCTAAATATTGTGTGTGTAAAAATAAAAAGAAAAATATTTAAATAATAATAGGGGGGGGGGGATGTCCCCCTCGGCAGAAATTATATGCATTATTCAAAAATCGTACAATATTAATCCCGAAAATTAATCGTCCAAAAATGGTATATTTATATCTCCATAGCTGTAAAATGTCACATAATGTTTTGTAGGAATTATAGTCATAATGTTGCCATGTTTTTTCACAAATGAACCTGCTAGATATCGCTCAAATAGTACTAAGTAGTAGAGGTATTACAGTAATATTTAGTCCAAGTGTTCAAGTGGATGTGACATATATTTTGTTGGGCTGCGCCCCTGGTTCTAAAATTTTCGTCTCCTGGCTCATTTCACCAGGCTCTCTGTGTGAAATTGTAACAAGTACACTTTGAAATAGCGAATATATAAACAAAATAAAATAAAGGGTTGGATAAAAAGTAAATATAACTCTTAAGTAGGTCTCCAATTGCCATCTAGTAACTGCAAACAGTATTTACTCAAGGGAGTTATGTTAACACCCCAACTGAAAGTTCTCACATTGGATTAAAAGTGGAAAAAAAATTAATTAAATTTTGTAATGTTTCGCAACGCTCCTGTGAGGAATTTACAGCAACCCATATAAAATAATGTGCACCCCCACCCGGCCAGACCAGTAAAGGGACAATTTATTGCGTCCTTTGTCTTTGAGAAGTAAGTGGAATTTTATTGTTTAATTCACTATCAAATTCCTTTCCGAAGAAGATTTTGGCGCCCCCTGTTTTTGTGCCTATTGCTCTTCGACTCATTCTCATGGCCCTGTCCGAGGGCAATGAAAACCCAGGATGATGCGGTATATATTCTGGGGACCAATGGGCTCGCCGAATCCCCAGTGGTGAAAACCCATGTCACATTTTGTTTACTTTAACATCATAAATATATCAAGATTATTGGATTTTGTTTGGTGTTTTTTTCCCCGAAAGCTCCTTGTAACGTACGCAAGGGGAGGGTTGTCTTTAAAAAAAGTCAACCGCTCACCTAAATATTAATTGATATCTATAGCAGATACACATCTGCAAAACAAAGTGACAGCAGATTGCAGTGAACGTCAGTCATCTATCTGTTCCCCTTTTTTATGCCAGCTCAACTCAATTCCACTGGACACGCGATACGAGTAGTTATTGTATTCATTATATATACTGTATGTTTATTTATTTACTGTTAAGATAGTGTATTGTACGATTTTGAAATGATATTGTACGATTTTAGGATTTTTAGGGTAATAATATCTGAAAATAGTGGCAAACTCTCGACACCACGTGTTTACCTTGAGACTTACGGAAAGCGCACTTTCGCATTTGCTGGTCCAACTATTTGGAATGCCCTTCCAGTCGATCTCAGAAACAATCAGACACTGGAGTCCTTTAAAACAGATTTAAAGACACATCTATTTCGCAAACACCTTCTGGGATGATTGTCAACCTTATTTTCCAGTTAATGCATAATGGCTGTGTTGCTTGGGGTTGAAATGGCTAGAAAGACTCTGCAATTGTATGCTAGTAATTAGTTTTTGGAGTGTTGCGTTTGTTTTAAATGTGGTAAATTATAGATTTGTATTTCGTTGACTTTGTACCGCGCTTTGAGCCTTTGGGGATGAAGCGTGTTTTTGAAATGAACTTTATTATTATTATTATTAAATAATAAAAGGTCTGAAATAATATATGGACATTGAGGTGGGTCTAAAAAAATATTTCTGAAAACTTCAAGTAAACTTGATGCAAAAATTGTCTAATAAGTCAGTAAATTCTTATCTTTTGTTAATTTTTTTAAAATGGTAATTGCTAGTGATGCATGAGTTGCAGCAAGGTTCTGCAACATACTTGAATCTCATAATTTAAATGTTTTGATGTTGCATTTTCTAACATTTCAGCATTGACCCAAGCAGCTCTCACTCCAAGTCATGATTCCATGCTGGCAACTGACTTTCTCACTGGAGGTGGGATTTCCGTTAACTATCTTATTTATTGTCATTCTTTTCTTTGACCACAGCATTGATTTGTTTGCTTTTATTTTAAATTTTGTCATTTATTTTTACTTTAATGAAAATTCATTATCAAAATGTATGTGTAAATATATATATATATATGTGAATATTAATTTTATCCTTGGCAATATTTTTATAACTAAACAAATGCATAAAAGAAGATTTGGAATGCATCAAAAAAAAATGTAACATAATTTAAGTAATTGACATCAATGCTTCCACTTGCTTTTGTTTCTATCAACAATTATTGTCATGACTCCTGCTATTTTCTTTTACACTTAGATGGTTCAATTTTTTTCCAGATGATGTAAGTTCCTAAATTATCTCCATTTTTTTTTTCTTTACAGGTATGGCAGACCAGTCTTTGCTGAACTCATCCAGTGAGAGCATGCCTGATCCATCCTGTAACAATCTCATCTCACATCTGATGGTGTCAACTAGTGACTCTTTGACTTCCCCATCTTTAACAGTCAGTGCATCAGAAATCCAATTACCGCAGCCACAGCTTCAGCTCTATCAAGAAGATCACATAGACCAAAGACTTTTGGAAGCTTCTGACATTTTACAGGTAAATTATTCTCATAGAAAGTGTAATGGCAAATAACATTTCTGGGATACTCTTTACCTTTAAAAATGTATCACTGTCTAAAATTATATTCATATTAGAAATTAGTCATTTGTCTAATTAATTTATCGAAGTTTGCTTTTTAATTCTGTGTCATAACTCATAATAAGTTGCCGCAATTCTGTAAAGGCTGTCTATTAGTTTGGAATTTTAGAGTGTCCTTTAAATTCAAGTCAGCATAATAAAAATACTAATTTTAATCATTATTCATTTTAAAAAGTGTCCAATGACATTAATAATGATGTGATCTATTTCAGCGGGAAAGACTGTCTAGTGAAGCTGTTGAAAGGGGAAGGAAAAGTCAAATAATGTTAGAGAATATGCATGGTTCAGCTCGAACTGACCCTCGAAGCAATGACATCATCAGTCAAAGATCCCTGAAAAGGTATTGTTGCATTTGCTTTCCTTCAAATAATTATACCAAATTATGTTTACCATTTGTTCAACAAACTTGCATTTGGAGTTTTACAATAATCAATAAGCTTATCAAAAGCTGTTTCAATTTCCTTATTTATATGGCATAGATTAATCTCAAATAATAAAACCACTTTTTCATTAGATGGCAGAAGCAAAAAATTATTGAAGCAGCCAAACTGAAAACTCAACTTGAAGCACAGAGCAGACCAAAGTCCCCTGTCAGTATTGTTGTCAATGCTTCTGGTGATTATAAGAATCCTGTCTCCAATAACGTGTCTCTGAGCGGTCAACAACGGGTAAAAACTGAATTGGTTTCGCGACCTTTAGGATTAAATGCTGACAACGTGGCATCTATCAAAGGTAAGTGCAGTAAGTCTGTATAAATTTCTTTAATCAGTGAAACAATGGTTTCTAAAGTATAATCATTGTATGATTTTCATGTGATCCCATAAATCTTATTTTGATATTGCTTTCTTTGTAATGCATTGAGGAGGGCTGCATTTAAGAGAGTATTAACATGATCAGAGAATAACTAATTATTTTTTAGATCTGAATTGTCAAAAACTAATCATCTGTGTACATATTATTTTTTAAAATTCTGAATAGTTTGTGTCAGGGTTATGTTACACAAAGTTTTTATTTGTAAATCACCCATCCAGATGCTTTGGTTTGACTGTATGGTTTTTAACTTTTGGAGTCTTTTTTTTAACTCTAATGGATTTAAAAAAATTAACTTAAAAATTTTTAAAATTCACCATACCTATATGGTAAAAATTATGTTTTCATATACTTTATAAATAGTTTGGGGGGAAAAAAATAATACGTGTAACCAACAGCTTTGCTCTCATGGTTTTAATTCGATTAATAATTGTTCATAAAATTATTAAAAACTGTTTTTTTGTAGCAGAAATCCCTGACATGGAGTTACATGCTGAAGACATCTCAGACATGATCCTTGACGGAAGTACTATTTCAGCAGATTCATTTATGACTGATTTGTTCATTAGGGACCCTGAAACTGGCATCACATATCGACAAACTCAGCTACTACAGGTAACTGAATATTTTTATTACAAAGTACTTAAAAAAAGAAAATGATATTTTGAGATTTAAAAAAATAAAAATGCAGAGCATTGCTGCAAGCTGAAGACTGAGACCTAATGATATCGTCAGCTAGCAGAAATGTAACCACTTTATTATATGTAGTAGTATTTTATGTAAAGTCTTTCGTCTTCTGAACTTTTGATGGATTTTATTTGTTTTTCTTGCCCTCTTTCAGGATGACCCACCTAATCCAGACATGATGGAAGATATTGATGTTGCACCTTCACATAGTATGGATCCAAGCTTAGATGCCCATTTTGTAGAGGACTCATTAACATTTCACAGCATAGAGTAACCATGCATAGCAGTATGTTCTGTTGAGGTTAACATCTATCAAAAAACTGTTGTACTTTTAAAATTTTATGTTGTTTTTTTTACTTTCAAAACAATTTATCAGAGTGAATGATCAGCTTCTATTTCTGAAACAAATGTATTGAACTCTTATTCACATAACTGTAACACTTTTTGTTTAAACTTGATCATGAATTTGTTTTTCATTTACAATATTAGATAATATTAAGTTTGTCTATGGCGTTTTAAAAAAAATAATTATTATTTCATGGATCAGAACTTAGACAGTGGTGTCAAAAATATGTGTTGTCAATGGTGATTGAAATTATTTTAAAAGTTTAGCATATACTTAATCTGCTGCATAACTTATCTGTTGTTTGTTCTGGCATCAAATATACGGTACCATTGTGTCTTTCAGGGTATTCTTTCATAGTTATTGATGCATGTATTGTGTTCATTATGTTTGATGCAGATAAAGAGCAGCTTTTTTTACATTATTGATCTTTTTTTTTGTTCTTGTATGAAAGTTTGTTCTTTATACTTAAGCTAGAGTGTTACTTTTAAAACTTGTTATAATTTGAGATTATTAATAGGTAAATGCTACTAAGATTTTTTTACAATGTTATTGTTTCTAATTTTTTAGAAATTGTGGATTGCATACTGATCTGTGTATAAAATAAACGCATGATTTTACAATTTTAACTTCAAAAGTTATTGTTATTGATTTTCTAAGCAAGTGAACTGCAAGGATATTCTTTAACACTAGATCTACTATTATTATTTTAAAAATTTTGTATTTAAAGGGATCCAATAATTTGTTTGAAATACATTTTTAGAATACATTTTGCTTTAGCTGTACTTGATTTTTATTTCAAGTTGCCAAATAGAGCGTTTGAGATGCTATCACCCTACTTGCCTGCCTTTTAATCAATAGGTCTATAGAGTCCTGCACCCAACCCATGGCTCTTTATTGATTAATATAATAGTTGCCTCCCCCAAAAGAAAAAAAAAATTCAAACTTTTTACCAGAGTTCAAACGTCACCTATGACAACTGTGTGACAGCTTTTTTTTTCTCACTCAGTACTATTTATATAAAAAATTTTGAGTGGGGGAAAGCTGGTTGTAAAAAGGAAGCAGGATACACCAGAAGAAAAATATGTTAACATACTAGGGCAGTTTTTTTATTAACATACTGGGTGCAGTTTTTTTTTTTACAATGAGTATTTTGAGAAATATGCCTACAGACAGTCTACACCCAAATTTTTAAACAATAGGCCTACAGAAAGCCTACACCATACACGTGGCTCTTCATTATATTAGTATTATTCGTCACCCTCTAAAAATATTTAATTTTTTACCAGAGTTCGTCACGCATGGCAGCCTTTTTTTTTAGGCTGGAGTTGAGGGAGGTCGATTGGAAAAAGGAAACAGGAAACACCAGAAGCAAAAAAGTAAAGAGACTCACTGGGCAGGTTTTTTTTATGAATAGGCCTACACAGTCCTACACCCTAACTTCCCACCTTAACAAATAGGTCTACAGGCAGTCTTCATCTCTACCTGCTGGCCTTTTAACAATAGTACAGACAGTCTTACAACATACCCCTGGCTCTATTATTAATAGATGGGCCTACAAGCATTTTACTCATGTATTTATTATACACAGCTTGTGTGCATTTATTTGGCACCAATTATACAGGATAATACGAGGGTGTATTTTGAAGGGAAAAAAATGTTATTCATGAGTCTATGTAACTGGTTTAGAGATACAAGAATAAATTGAATTAAAGGAGAAATCCACTTTTTTATCGGATCAGTTTACTTAATAATTAATGTGCAAATCATCTTGTCGTCATGTCAGAACTTCTGCATAAAAATGAGTAACAGTTCTAAAAACCAATTTCCTGACCATATAGATTTTAACTGAAGAGTGGGAAAAAAATCCATGCCTTTAAAACTGGCAGAAAAGTTCCAATTTTTCTTGTCCTAGCAGTTAGTATGCCTTATTATTCTTTACAAAATGAGGACAGACGCTTCTGTTATAATTTGTATTTAAAATAAATATTGTTTTATGATTCAATTACCCCTGTGTTAATTTTTTTTTTAACTTCTTTCTATTTTAAAAAACAAACAACACATATCCTCATTTTTTAAAAAGTCATACAATTTTAATTAAATAGCATCTAGAACAAGTTTAAATTTATTTAACAGGAAACATTATCGTCCAGTGCTTGATGGCTCTTTTTCATTATCCAGTGATTTCAGTAGCCGAAACAAAGCTGCAGCCTCCCGTATACGGCTAAATTCTATGCAAAATGCCTGAACCTCAATAAAAATATCCTGAAAAAATATTACGTAGAATTTATCACATACAAACTAATTGGATTTCACAGAATACAAAGGCATCATTTTTAAATTACTTTATTTTGAAGGAAAATGTAAGTTGCTATAGTGACTGGAAATTTTAAAAAAGTAAACTGTTCTGAAAATATGACAACGAAAAGCAAAATTTTACCTTAACATCAATAGTTCGATTTCGTATGAGAGACTGAAGAAAAACACAGGTGAGACGAACTAATCTGTTCTGAAAATATCGGTCTTTTATTGTTTCACAGGTTGTTATGCAGTTGGAAATGTACAAATGTATGAACTCGGAAGGCAGTTCCACTTGCTGTGGGAAGAAATAGATTTCATAAACAAAAGTCCTTTCTGCTATTGGAAGAATTACTTTACACAAAATCAGTATAGTTAGTTAATAAGATAATCTGTTTTTAAAAAATTTATTAAGAAGACTGCAACCGAAGCGAAGACTAAAGCATTTGATAGGATTCTTTATCAAAATATGAAATGTTGTGAAGTTAGACATAAATCCTACTGCTTGATAGATTAAGCATGTGTTGTGTACCACTGTTACATTTTTAACCTATGTTACCGGTAAATTCAGTTTGAAATACCCAGCAACCTTAAAATTCACTAAATAAATTTTCTTCATTCTTTTATTAATAAGTAAAAATCAGAAAATGAAAATAGAGCCAACTTGAAAATAAAGCAGGGCAGAAAAGAAATTATGTTTGTAAATATAAACAATTATTTGACGTGTAATAATTTCTTACCGTTGTCAGTCTGTTGACAACCTCCATTGAATGCAGAGACATTTCCATATTGACTAGAACTTGAAAGTAGCTGTAGAACACATTATAATAATAAAATGTATTCATATTATATATAATTCATTAACCCCCTTCAACATGTATAAAAAAAATGCCATAGCCCTACTAATTCTGCTGCTTTGACATACCATGTACTTCATTAAATACCGGTATGTGAAAATATTGATCCCAAACAACTATTTGTGCAGACAGTATAATATTCAAAGGGATTTAATGTTCAATATTTCCTGTTTACAATGAGGGAGCTGAGAGCAGAAAATAGGGCATGAAATCTTTGAAATTAATACAGCTGAGGTGAATCTGTTGATTCCTTTTATTTTGATTTATCGTTTGGAGTGCTGTATATTACTATTAAAAAATTGTTTAATTATAACACACTACTTACTCTGTAATCTGTGTTGAATTCATCAATTTCAGCAGAACTTCAATAGCAACTAGTGGATTATTTTCAACTAGATCTGGTAACTGGAAAGGGAAAATATGTTACTTTTGTTAATAAGTTTCTTGCAAAATCAAAGAAAGGGTTTGTAGGTTTAGCCATATATTTCATATTTAAGGATGGTTAGGCCAGTCAATGGTTAGAATTTTAATCATCTTTAACCCTTTCGTTACCGATGACGTAGACGCAATGTCACGAGCACCCACTTTCAATTACCAAGGACGTCACATTGTCGTCATAACAAAAAGGCAAAGAACTTTGCTGAAATACAAAGTACGTCACTTTGACGTCATATTTTAATGCTATATATTTCAATTATTTCTTAATCTATAGAGAAGTTAATAAGCTAATCGGATAGAGAATGAAAAATACCAAAAGTTTCTTCTTCTTTTTTTTATTTCTTTTTTTAATATATGTTTTATTGCAGAGTCAGCAAAAATCGATGCCCCCCCCCCTCCCCAAAACCGGCGGTAATGAAAGGGTTAAGATAATGAATAGCATGATTGGATTTCTTTATGCCAAAAAAATATTATTTCATCAAGTATATGTAAAGTTAAAACAATTTAGTTTTGGGTCATATTTTTTACATTTAAAAAATTGTATGAATCCTTGAGGACATTTAATTTTTACAATTTCAAAAGAAGCTATTCACTGTTATCACGATTGTGTAGCAAAGAGAAGGTTGCTCTTTTGAAAAATGGAATTCCCAATATTTTTTTTTGTTCAGTAACTACTTTTAAATATCAATTATTGAAATAGAGTGTATGCTGTAAATTAATTTCCTCCAGAACAATATATTTGAAATTTTTTTTTTACTGGTTTAACTGTATAATTATTATCTATGTCAGACGGAAACTAATAGATTATTTTTATGAAGAGCAGACCTTGTAAAATAGATTTTTGCAAGAAAAATTAGGGGATGAGGGGAAGTGCGCCGATCTCGCTCCACATGGCTATTCTGCCAGATCATTTCCCCGGTCAACTCGCGGCGGAGGCCTTGCTATTATATATAGAAACATGTTGTCCAATCTTACAGCTTTTGTCACAGACCTCCCATTTGTTCACACATCTTTTGCGGTAGTTCAATTTACCCTGTCAGTGCCCCAGCAGAAAGTTCATTTCATGTGCATATATCGCACCTTCCCTAGTAAGAAAAATAAATTGACCGACTCAGTGTTTCATCGAGAATTCCCGGATTTGATTGACCACTGCAACACATTGACCGGGACTCACATTGTACTAGGCGACATGAACTTTCATTTTGATCAACCACAGCACCCCTCCACTGCTAGGATGTTGGATCTCTTGCATTTATTCAGTCTTCACCAATCAGTCGACCAACCGACTCATAATCGTGGACATATTCTTGACTGGGTGCTACATAGGCCTCAAGATGGTGTAGTTAGATCTACTTCAATCACGCAAGAGCTGTCCTCTGACCACTTCTGTGTTATTTGTGAACTTAGTGTTAGTGCCCCCAACCCTCTCCCTCAGTTTAGGGAGGAAAGAGCTGTCCTCTGACCACTTCTGTGTTATTTGTGAACTTAGTGTTAGTGCCCCCAACCCTCTCCCTCAGTTTAGGGAGGTGCGCAGTCTGCGAACTATAAACAGGGATGCATTTAAGCATGACCTAAGAGTAGAAGTGTCCCCTACCCTCTGCCCTACATTGGAAACACTAGACCGTGCATTGCGCGTGGTGCTTGACCGGCACGCCCCTGTCACCCGCCGCAATTTTAGTTTAAAGCGGTCATCTCCCTGGTATGCCACCATAAGGGAGGAACTACGCAGTGCCAAGAAAGAGCGCCGTAGTGCAGAAAAAAAGTGGTTGAGGTCAGGTCTTGTGGTTTTTAAGCAGATCTTTTCCGCTGCCAAGAAGCGTGTCACTGAGATTGTTTGTCGTGCTAAGACTACGTATTTTAGCCAAAAGATAACTATGGGTAAAACCAGCAGGCAGTTGTTTGATGTTTGTGGTCACCTTACGGGGAGTAACAAAGGAACTGCGCTTCCTTCGGTGTTTCCCCTGCCCAGCAACCAGATATTTTCTGTGATTTCTTTACAAGCAAAGTAGCTGGCATTCGCGCTGAGCTTGATCGTCTTGATGCCCCACCCCTTGAATTGCCTCATTTCCCTTGTCTTACTTCACATTTCAATATTTTTAAACCTGTTTCAGAACTTGAGGTCAAACGTATAATTTTAAAATCTAAACATACGTCATGTTCTTTGGATCCAATCCCAACCCCCTGTTTGTTGAGTCATTAGATATTTTGCTCCCAACGATAACCCACATAATAAATGAAAGCTTATATTCTGGCACTATTCCACCTCTTTGCAAATCAGCTGTCATCAAACCATTGCTTAAGAAGCCCGGTCTGGATGAAAATAATTTGAAAAACTATAGACCTGTATCTAACTTATCATTTTTATCTAAAGTTATTGAAAAACTAGTCCTAAAACAACTTTTTGCTTACTTAAATGTTTGTTTTTTAAAATAGAAAGAAGTTAAAAAAAAAAAAATTAACACAGGGGTAATCTCAGTTCTAATCAGTCGGCCTATAGACATTTCCATAGCACGGAGACAGCTCTCTTGAGAGTCAGTAATGACCTCTTGCGCGCAATGGACAGCGGTAATGTCTCCATTCTGATCCTCTTAGACCTCAGTGCGGCCTTTGACACTGTTGACCATGAAATCCTTTTCAAAACCCTTGAAAACTACTTTGGAATTTCTGGTTCGGTTTTGGCTTGGTTTAGGTCCTACCTCTCTGATAGAACGCAAATGGTCTCTGTCGATGGCTGTCTCTCCGGCAGTGCTGATTTGGTGTACGGAGTGCCACAGGGGTCCGTTTTGGGTCCGGTTCTATTCATAATGTATACCAGACCACTACTCCTCTTGCTCGGGAGGCATGCTGTTGAGAACCAGTCATTTGCAGATGATACACAGCTATACATGCATACCCATCCATCTCTTGTCGATTCCGCTGTCCAGACTTTGCGGGGGTGCATTGATGATGTCAAGTCTTGGATGACACTCAGCAAGTTGAAGCTTAATGATGACAAAACAGAAGCACTCCTCATTTACAATCACAAATCATCCTCTACCTCAACTCTTCCCACCTCATTTCAAGTAGGTAACTCCGACATACAGTTTACACCCTCTGCTAGGAATCTTGGTTATATTCTTTCTAACAACATGTCTCTCGATAAACATATCTCTCACATTTGTCGTTCGGCATACACCGCTATCCGTCAGATCAGCTCCATCCGCCACTACCTCACAGTTAGCGCAACAAAAACTCTAGTCTGTGCTCTTGTTCTCTCTCGTCTTGACTATTGCAACTCACTTCTGTCAGGTTCACCGAAACATTTCATAGAAAAACTGCAGAAAGTTCAAAACTCTGCTGCTAGGCTTGTTCTTAAGGCAAAAAAACGCGATCACGTCACTCCACTACTCCACTCACTACATTGGCTCCCTATACAGGCACGCATTGACTACAAGCTGTCTGTTCTCTGTCACAACTTTTTCTCAGATTCCTGCCCTTCCTATCTAACTGAACTTCTTTCTGTCTATTCACCCCTTCGACAACTTCGCTCCTCCGCAGACTCGCGTATTCTGTCCGTTCCCAAGACACGCACTAAATTATATGGTGAACGATCTTTCTCTTTCTGCGCCCCCAAACAATGGAATTCTTTGCCACTACACATCCGCAATATACCAACCACACAGGCCTTCAAAACTGCACTCAAAACACATCTATTTAAACTATACTACCCTGACTGATCCCCTCCTATAAACCGATAAACGTACATAGGGTTTCCTTGTAAAATTTCTGGTGTGGGTGGGTGAATATACCTCTGGTGTTGTTTTGCTTTTATGTTGTTTTTATTTCATTTATGTATTTTATTTTAATATCATGATTATGCCTCTTTGCTATATATTTGTACAGCGCGGTGAGCCCGGCCCTAGGCCGGGGTACCGCGCTATATAAGACCACTTATTATTATTATTATTAATAAACATTCTAAGTATACTTTTACAACAATTTAAAGTTAAACAAATGAAGTAGCCAGGATTAATTAAGCGCTATTTTTCATTAGAATGATTATAAAAAATAAACCCACTTTAGCTGGTGATAGACCAATGTTAAAGACAAGTTTGCTGTCTTTGTCTAGCTCTTTTTTAATTTGCTGCTGTTGTGGGGGAGATAAAGCGCCTTTGAAAGCTTTAGCCATTAGACGTCTCACTTCAACTCCAGTGGATGTATTTACACACATAGTTGTGTCCCATGCTATATTAAACTCATTGTCGGTGGGTAGCATCCATGCCATCTGAAAAAGAGATTTCAATTTTATCCAACCATATATAACTGCAACTAGAATATAAAGCATAAACATTCATCTTCCTTTTCCAATGCTTACAAAATTAGAGCTAAATATCTGATATATTTATTAAGAGTCATTAATTTTTTTTTTATTAAAGATAAATTAATCGTTTAAATATATCCTTGTTTATCAAATATATTTATTTTTTTATTTCATTTCAATTTTTTTTTTCAAAGTGAAGCAAAATTTGAAGGAAAAAAAAAATAAGATGAATATGAAAGTCAAGATAGTGCTTTGAATACTTTGATAGTACCTCATCATCAGCTATATGTAAGGGAGGGGCAAGTCTGATAAACTCAGGTCTTAGTGTGCTGTCAACAGCACATTTATTGCCTGTCAGTAAACTTTCAGCTACATCCCTCTGAATGTCTGGATTAATCAGATTGGGTTTTCCGAATTGCTCAAAGCTGGTTTCGAAAAGAAGAAACCAAAGGTCATTGAATAACTAACCTTATTCTTAAGACTACTTTTATTTCACTTAATTAAATTTTATTGTCAAGCTATTTAATTTTTTTTTTTTTTAAATAATTTAGAAGATGAATTAATTTATCCTGGACATAAGATGAATGAAGAAATTTCCTGGAAACTTTCCTAATTAAAAATAAACATGTGATGACATGTAAAATATAACCTGAACGAAGAGAGATTATAATCAAGACCACAGATAGCACACAAGAATATTCCTGCATGTCCATCAAAATTGTGTCCAGAAAAAAGGGAACCCCCTTCATAATGATGGAAACTAATGGTCAGTATTAATCAATTTTTTGAATTCCAAAATTCATTTTAATTCTAACATAATGTTAAATTTTTATTAAACTATAGTTTGTGTTTCGAGATGCACTCTCCATTGACCAATCATTATCAAAAGGCTTTCCCTTTTTTTCCCGGACACAGTGTATAGTGAAAAAAAATTTTCACCTGCTTGGTTTGGTCTCAGGATCAGCTAACACACAACTCATTGCAGTTTTGCTAGTGTGTGGCATTTCTGATTGCCTTTGGACAATAAACAATTGAGTCTGGCTGATATCCATTGGCTGCTTGCCTGTCACATCTATTTGGATAATTTGTGCTGGTGTTTTTTTTAAAAGCTGAAAATATAAAATAGAACTGTTCCAATTTACTCTCCATAAAAATAGCTTCATTTAGGTACTAGCAATAAGCCATCAAAACTTAACTGAAGGAGTAGATATTTCAGATTATGATTGAAAATTACTTCTAAAAAAAAATTTATTTACAATATTTTAATTATTCTTCTATTAGTGAACAAGAAAACTTTATGTCAAGTCTTCTTATTGAGTACACTCCCAGTACCAAGGTCTCCTTAATACTTCTTGTGTGATCTTTCTCATCCTCCCACAGTTAGAAGTGTTTAAAAGGAATCAATGAAATTATAAAATTAGCAGCTATGTTAAGTACAATGTTACATGCTCATATTGTAAGTTAAGCCATTTTAAGGAGATATATTGACCATATCTTTTACCAACTAATTTGTTTATTTATAAAATTAATGACAAATATCAACTGTGCATCACTTGTAAACAAGCTATAATATAATATTATTATATCACTGTCCATTGTTGTTTTTTTCTTTCTGTTAATTTGCCAGTGTTTACACAATAATCTGTGGATGCCTCATGAAAACACTTTTTCTATGAGATATCAAGACTTTTGATCTTTTTACCTGGTTATTTCCTATCCGCTATTTCTAAATGTCTAAAACCACATTATACCAAAAGCTCAGATTATTTAATTAATTTTATAGTTTGTGCATGCATTTAATGCCCTGTGCATCAAAAACTTGATTTTATTAAATACATTTTACTCTTGGGATGAGGGGATACTATTGAGTATTGATATCTATTTTAAAGAAACGTATTATGATCAATTTCCCATGGTTTGGAAAAAAATTTTTAGTAAAAAAATCATGAAAATATTTATATATTATATATATATATTATGAAAGGCACTTTCTTTTTTTAATTATTTTCTCCTGATAACAAAAATTACAAAAAATAATCAGCTATTATATTGATAATTGAATAAGTATAGTTTTCGACATAAGCAATAAGCTCATTAATGGCATACATTCAACCTAATTTTCAAGAAAACTGTCAAGCTTTCACGGGAGCAATCAGAGACATGCATACTTTAACCTGATATTGTACAAATAATTAGTAACTCTAACTCCCAGTAACCCAATATTATTTCTACAATTGCGATTCATAATGAATCGTCATTTTCTAGAATTAATAACAACATGCATTTTCAAATCCAAATAAATAATGGACCGATGATTCAGCAAAGCCAATTTATTGGTAATTGTACAGTTTGTACAACCCTAGTGTTAATTTACTTGTTTGTAACATATACAGTTTGAAAGTTCCTCTATTCATTGCAAAAAATCCCAATGACAGACAACTGCTCTAGTTTTATAACACTTTAGATGACCATGGAAGAAAGTTAAATTGTTGCATGCACACCCAGCAAAGGGAAGATTATTCATACAAAAATTATGCATATTTTTTAAGACAATAGACACATCTATTTCGCAAACACCTTCTGGGATGATTGTCAACATTATTTTCCAGTTAATGCATAATGGCTGTGTTGCTTATGGTTGAAATGGCTAGAAAGACTTTGCCATTGTATGCTTGTACTTAGTTTTTGTCGTGTTGATTTTTGTCGTGTTGCGTTTGTTTTAAATGTGGTAAACTATAGATTTGTTTTTTGTTGACTTTGTACCGCGCTTCGAGCCTTTGGGGATGAAGCGTGTTTTTGAAATGAACTTTATTATTATTATTATGTAAAGTCTTATCATGTTGGCATCTACCTCTTTGGATGTACTTGAAATAAGGTTAGAAAGGAAGTATCTCTCTGCTGCAGACACAGGAGGAATGGACGATTGCAGATCATAAGGGTTGGACTCTTTCCTTTCTGGACTTTCTTGCTAAAAAGTGAGATTCAAATTTACGTACTTAACATTACAGATTAAATAATGAATATGCATAATGACACAAACTTAACATAAATTAAGATTACCGGTATTTATTTTATGATACCCTGAATCCAACTCCCTTAAAATAGGATAACAATGCGATAAAATGTTGTTGTTTTTTTCACAGTCCAATATCTAATATAAAGTATTACTAAAGTCTCAAAGCCATCTCAAAGGCCTATTCTGATAAAACTACCATTGCCCCCCCCCCCCTATCTCTCAGAAATCTTGAGCAGGAGGATATCGCTGACTTGGCAAAACACTGGTCTAGAAAATTTAATTTTACCAAAAGATTTAAAAAGACAGCTGCAAATGGGTTAGCAGATACTGGATCAGTCTTGTACATTTCATAGAGAATGAAAACGGCTGCCAACTTCTGTGTTTGGTGTGGGAGTAGATCTCTGTGTTGAAGCAGAAGCACCTAAGGATCAGATAACAATATTTTTGCTTCAAAAATGAATATAGAATAAATGTATGGCAATTAATTAGAAGAATGCAAAAATAATCAACATCATATAAAATAATGGAAGTAACAAGTTTTAAGCAGCTTTAACAGGTGTACATTACCAATGCTTGTCCAACTTTAAAATGATCTTGCTTATTTGTGAAATAATGATGAAAGGTATTGGCCAAACTTTCAAAAGTCTGCGCTTGTGTGGCATCTTCTGACAATACACTGTAACAGAATATGATGAAGCTAACTTATTTACTGAAGAGCTGAAATATGGATTATTGAACCACTACTATAACAAGCTCTTCAGAAACGAAAATATCTGATAATTAATTAAGGGCGTACACTATTTTATAACATTTTTGTCCTATACCCCACCCTTTCTTTCATCAGAACTCATAAAAAAATAAATAAAATTAGACACTCTTGTCACAAATACATGTTTATTATTACATACTTGTTTGGATGACCTAGCTTTCCACCTATTTACGTGACAAGATACATAACAAATTCAAACGCATAAAACATATTGTCATAGTCAGGTTTCCTGACGCCTGATGGAATTCTGGCAAACTTGACCAGTTGAACAATTTGCTCAGGAGCTGACCTGTCGACTGGATATTTTTTTATCATTTTTGGACCCACCTTGGATTTCAGACTTTTCCCTCTGGAATCCTCTAGAGCAGCGTTTCTCAACCTGTGGGTCACCACCCATTTGGGTTTTGCACGACCCTTTCACAGGGGTCGCCTAAGACCATTTGAAAACATATATACTTTACAGTTATAAAGTACCAACTAAAAATAATTGTGTGGCTGGGGGTCGCCACAACATGAGGAACTGTATTAAAGGGTCGCGGCATTGGAAAGATTGAGAACCATTGCTCTAGAATAACTCTTATGAACGTCCATGCGAGAACCGATTTTTTTAAATTTTTTTTTAAATCTCATCAACCTGTCGGATTCTGAGCAAATCTGTAAAGTTTTCTTAAAAAGGATGCTGAAAAGCCAGTGTCTTTGGAAACCCCAGACTACAATATTTGGTCACAGCACCAACATTGCATCGTGAAAATTAGTGGTTAGTAATTAAATATGCCGCTAAAATGCAGTTAGTGGCAAGGCCAGCAATGTCTTTCACTGCATATAGGTTATGGAGTTTCCCCAGGTCAACTACAGGACATAGTTCCGTTTTTCAAAAGATTTCTAATTTAGCTCTGTATTTCTTTGATGAAAGTTTTTTTCTCATTTTATTTATTTTGTCTTGAAAGTGGAGGAGAGAATATGGGGAGGGCTCTCCCTTCCCCAGAAAGTTATGTTAAAATGTCCTGTTAAATTACCACAATATAGAAATGAATAGCATATGTGTACTTTGTTTTTCAGGGGCCATCCATAAATGATGTCATGTGTCTAAGAAGGTCACATTTTTGTGACGATTTGTAACGAGGGTAGGGGAGGTTAAAGCAATGTGACATCTATAGTAAAAAAATGCACTTCATAACATAAAATTACAGACATTTTTAACATTATTCTTTTATACAAAAATTATAAAAGTTTTTTTTCAAACTATGATCTCTAGATGATTCAGTACAGGCAAGTGAGGTCCAAGAAATGGCATCTGATCAAGTTACAAGATGCCACAGAGGAGAAAATTCGGGGTATAGTGACTTTGACACTCATGAGAATGAGTGTCAAAATGAGGAGACGGAAATCATACTTTGGGATATCACGGGAAGTGAGATAAAACAAAAAATGTTGGAGGGTGGGGGGTTGACTTTAGTAAATGCTCTAGGCCAGGTATTCTTACATTTTTTGCAGTGTTGCATCCCCTCTCAACTTCTAAACATTTCCAGCAACACCACGCCACTTCTCGTATAAATTAACTAGTAATAAAAATTAAAAGATTAAAATAATTAAATTATTTATTTATTGTCATTTTATTTAGTTGATTAACTTTCTAGAAAAAAGAAAAATATTACAAATACAAGTAATGCGCAAACAAAATTCACCAGAAGAAAACATTTACTGCTGCTATTCAAAGTGCATAAAAATAATTTTATTTTTAAAGTTAAAATTAAAGGCAAAACAACTAGACTAGCAATTGCAGCATATGAAATTTATTTTCTGAGTCTTCCTCACCATGTGAGGATTCTAACTTTTTGTGACAATGAGGGAGGGGGGAAAACATTGGCTCAATTTTCGTGAACTCTGTTATGGACGGCCCCTTCTTTTTTCCAGAGGTCATCTCTTTTTATTTCTTTTGAACCTTGGGAGCTAAATTGTTAAAATTTTAATAAAAATGAATGGAAAATTTTGTTTCAAATCATTTCTCCATATTAACTGTATTGACTGTCAGCTTGTGCTTATGAATGCTCAGTAAAGATCTGGAATGTTATCAATGAATATCAATCATGAATGTCATGATTTGTACACATCATTATTAATGACATTAAAAAGGTATCACTATTGACTATACAAAGTTTTAGGGAATTTAATTATGCTTCCTAATACTAATGTCCACTATCATTAGTTTTAGTGTATTTGGACAATTTGGTAAAAATGTGTAGTCAGTTAGCGGCATAGTTTTTGCCAAGAGATGTTTTACCCAAAGCGCAGTGATGTCACTTTGGGGAATCCCAACACTGGTATTAGCAGCTTAGCCTTAATTAGGGCATAGGTCATAGGGTTTTGACCAACAGTTTGAACTAAATTTTTAAGGCGGGCACTGCGTACACCGCGGCGGTGTACCTTGCGAAACTATTGACTTTGGCCTGCGTACACCACGGCGGTGTACCTAGCTAAATCATGGTCTGTGGCCTGCGTACACCGCAACGATTTAAAGTAGCAAAACTATGGTCTTTGCGAGTCTTTAACTTTTTGGCCTATCCGGTACTTGTAGATTTAATGTTATACTCGTGTTAAAACTGAAAACTATTTAAAATTCGTTTATTACCTTGGGAAGATATTGAGTAAGTTCCACGCTTTTGTGGCAAAGTGCATGTAAAGCATTTCTTATTATTTTTGAAAGGGAGGGGGCTGGGGGTGTAATGTTAAACCATGATTTATTTTTAAAGTTAACCACTTTATTCCCCCCTCCCCCAATATATTGAAATACAAATATATTTTTGTAAGTTTTATCATATGATTGTGAATATTAATTTGAAATTATTCTCTCATGCCCACCCAGTTGTTGTTTTTTTTTGTGGTTTTTTTTTTTTTTTTGGGGGGGGGGGCATTATAAATATAACACTGTATATGATCCCTCGGGGCATGGTGTAAAAATGAATGGGAAGACAGTGAATCTATTTTGTTAGCACCAAGATATAATTACGCCACAAATACACTACAGGAAGAGAATCACATACTCATACATTGATCATGAAGTCGTAAAATTAAAGTTGTCCGAGGCATTGTCATTGTGATACCAAGCATGTGTCAACACAAAACAACAGTATGATGATAAATACGAAACACTGCAGTGATTTTTGAAAGTCTTTTAACAATAATTAAATATCATTGATTTAGTTTTACATTGGCATTACACATTAGTAAAAAAATGCTGGCGGATAGGGGGGGGGTGCAAAAGGTAAGTTTGTTGTGCGGACGTCCTTTGTGGACAACCCCTATGCCTATCCTGAACCGTGATTTGTGAATGCCCCCTTTTTGGTTCAGCCTCTGCCCATAACTCACCTCCACCCCCCACTCCACGGCAAGGATCGATTTCTTAACAAAAAAAACAACAACAACAAATACATAAACTTTGACATAGTGCAAATCCTGTCCAATGCCCATTGTGCAAAGGTTTCTGTGAGAAAACGTCGTGTTTTACCCTGAGAATAGCACATGCCATGCCATTCTGGAAACAAAATTCGGTCATGAAAAAGGGTAAACGCAGACCTATGGCTTTGCCACACTATACAGTTTGCTACCGCTCCGCAAGTTTCTAAAATCGAGGTGTTTTCAAAAAGATTTGTTTGACTTTAAGTCTTTATAATAATACTTTGACTGTATCTTTATTAATTTAAGTTTAAGTCAAGACTAAAATAAGACGACTAAGAGTAAGAGTAAGAGTAAGACTAAGACTCTTAGTCTTAATTATATAATAGTCTTAGTCTTAAGACTCAAGACTTAAGACCAAGCGAGAAAATTACCCTACCTGAGCAAAGATGCAAGTTCCTTAACAGTCAATGCTGCCATGGTTTAATTGAGGCACAATGGAATCTTGAAAATTGTAAAAAGTTGTATAAATGAAACAATGAGTAGAAAGTAACGAGAGGAAACCTAGACTAAATACTGCTTATTACTTATAATAATAACGTTAAGAACGGTAGGCCAATTGTTTTCTGAAACTGAAATATAGTAATAAACAACTTTGCCAGATTTTCTTCTCATTTCAGGTCGTAACTAAAATACTTAATAATTCTTTAGGCATATCTATTGTTTGTTTTCAACTATATCTGAGAAAATCTGGCAAATTCTGAAATCAAAACAAGATGGCTGGAGCAAGACAGGCATTTGCCCAGTTTTTTGCCAAAGACAAGGTTTGTTGTTATATGTGTTGATTTTGTAGTCTAAAAGGATATGATACTTTATTCTGTAACTGCAAGAAGAAATCAAGGTACTTATTTTTAATTGAATGGGATCCTCAGAGCCATTAATATCTTCAACACTGGCCATTTAATTTTTGAAATACATCATTTCATACTTACTCAACAGCAAGAATAAGAGTAAAAGTAAAGTACCAGACTCAGACCTGTGGACCTGTTCAGACTTATGATTTTGAAGTGTATACATTATATATACTTATGTTTATTTTTTACTATTAAGATAATGTATTGAACAATTTTGTGATGATACGGTACGATTTTAAGAATTTGAGGGTAAACAGGTCTGAAGTTACTGACTGAAGTACTCTGAACTGAACTGAGACTTTAACTTAAACTAGCTAGGCCTACATACTACATACATATCACACGGACAATAATAGACTAATTTAAGACTGATATATTTTATTATTGAAAATATGACATCAAATTGAAATCGACTGTGGTATTCTTAAAAACTTAAGCCTAAGCCCTTAGAATTATGTACAAAATGCCAAAATATTTATTTCGCTGCTGCTCTTCGGACCCAGGTTCCTTTACTTTAGACTAAATGAATGGTAGGCACTTCGATATAGTCCGGGAAACGCCCCACCCCAATTCATTATTTGTGGGACACATTATTTATTATATGTAATGATATTTTAATGTATATTATGATTCTTAATAGATTAAATAAAAATGTAAAAAAAATAGTCGCATTTAATATTGATATTGAAATATCCTATATTTAATCACATACCACAATATTTCACAAGAGAATTATTACATAAGCCTTGGTATTCTCAAAGAAAACACACACTTTCTGCCACAATAATCAAAGAATTACTTAAGATATTACTAAAGATCAATCATAAAAACTTAAACTTACCTCAAGCAAATGACTAGAACTTATTTTAATTTCTATCAACCACCAAAGTTGATTTTATCAATGCATGTTGATTTGTGAAACAAGATTACTAACTTGAAAAAAAATGACATACTATTTTCATATTCAGGCATTCATATGATATGGGACTAAAATACATATGTAGAAAATTTTAAAATAAAAAGTGAAATCGTAAATTTTAACTGACTAAATGAAACAAATAATCCCTTTATACTTATAAATGTTAAACAATTCCACAGAAATTTGAAATTAATTTCTAAATAATATTATAATTATTATTATTTTAGGGAAATTTTTTTTTTTTTAATTTAACAAAATTAATTTATTAATTTCAAATAAATGACCAGTCGGCATATTTTATACATTTTTAATATTAATTTTAGCAATCAAGATTTTTTTTTTTTTTTTTGCGGAACATTAACAAAAACTAAGTGATTTTTTGTGGCTTTATTTAGTAGTACTTTTATTATTAATTTCAAATAAATGACCAGTCGGCATATTTTATACATTTTTAATATTAATTTTAGCAATCAAGATTTTTTTTTTTTTTTGCGGAACATTAACAAAAACTAAGTGATATATTGTGGCTTTATTTAGTAGTACTTTTATATAACTATGTCTCCTGTAAATATTATTCAAAAAAATTTTCATCAAAGTGCCTAATGAATGGCTATTCGGATATAATTTTTGGTAGTTTATTTTAGTTAAACTGAAGAATTAAGTTTACATACTTATATAGTCCGTTCAATTATCGTTTATTTGATACCAAATTTTATCTTTAAAAACTCAACAATAATATTTTTTTTAAACCGGACCTCTAACTCTTTTCTGGGTCTAAATAGCCACTTCATATTTATATTGTATGGGCCTACAAAGTTAAAAAGAGACACACACACACACACACCCTCCCCCCAGACTAGTGGCTATGCCTCTAAATAAAGTCTAAGGCAGGCTAAAGCCTAAGCCCTAAATCAATCTAAACTAAACCTAATGATAGCCTAATGAGTGTAACAATTCAATAGTGGATTCTGGACCTAGCCTTGTGACTGGAATTACTTCCTAGGAAGTCCTCCCCATTTCCAAAAAATTGCTTGAAATGGGACATTTGAAGACATAAACTATAATCAGTTATAGGTACTGTGGTAAAGCAAGAGAGACTACTAAAAAAATGGGAAATGGGTGACAGCGGACAAAAATACAAGCTTTTTGATATTTGTGCTATTTCATTCATAAAAGAATTACTATATCCCACATTTGTGTTCCTTTTCCAGCCTTTTACTAGGGGTGGGGGGTTTGGTGTTGTTGTGTCATGTAGATAGAATTTTTTTTTACTCTATGTTTAGAAGTCTTCTATTTTCTTTGTTGATATAAGGCGTTAAATTAATAAATCTAAAAGTGGAAACTTTGATGGTTTGATATGCTAAAATATACTTATCAGCATCACATTTCCCTTTAAAAGAAAGAATTATGCCACATTTATTTAAAATCGTACAGTGAATTAAAATTTTCAAGGCTTTATTATTTCCTTGATAATTAATTATTGTATTAATTATATAAATAATATTACCTTACAGACATTTAAACCTAAGAAAAGATTTGAGAGTGGAACCCTTAAATATAATCTACATAAACAAGCAAATGCTTCTCTCAACTCTGGTATTGATTTGAAGGAAGTTGTAAAGTTGCCACCTGGAGAGGATGTTAATGACTGGATTGCTGTACATGGTGAGACAGAGGCGTAGCAAAAGTGTTTGGCACTCAGGGACTAGATTCGCGCCCAGGGATAAGATTCATTTTAAAGCATCCCATTTTCTTTCTTTCAACTCTCAAACCCATTATTTTCGTCAATAAAATAATATCAAAGCATTTTGGCGCCCCTAAATAGCTGGTGCCCGGGCCCTGCTTTACTAAGCCTCTTTGGTGAGAACGCCCTTTTTGGCATTTGAAGTGATATAAAGATTCTAATTTTGAAATTTAGCATCAAATGGTTGAGATTTGATTTTCTTTCTTCTTAGCCTTAAATTGTAGTTATATTGTCTTAACTTTGAAAATAACTACATTAAAAATCCCATTCAATGGGCATATATGAATTTTTTTCCAAAAAATCATTTGCATAGATTATATAGCAGTAATTATTTTGATAATCTCATGTTATGTAACTTAAGAATTCAATTTTACTGTTTAAAAAATGTAAAGCAATACTTGATTTAAAATAATCATTCATTATAATATTCCCCAGTTGTTGATTTTTTTAACCGGATTAACTTGTTGTACGGCACTATATTTGAACACTGCACAGAGCAAACATGCCCAACCATGTCTGGTGGTCCAAAGTAAGTATCATAAAATTTCAAATTTTCAAATCCTACATTAATCTGTTCATGATTGCTTTTTTTTTTTTGCCTGTAGCAATAAGTTTTCGTTATGATATATTCAAGAATTATTATTTTCATTTCGCTTGGTGTATTTTGCCTGTGTTATACAAAGTGTTTAGCTAGATGTTTCATTATATCAGAATTCTTAGCCTCTCACACACATGGTAGTGCACCTCATATGCAACATTTACTGGGTCGATGTGCTGTTTTTCTGAATTGTTATAGACTGCTTTCAAATCTTGTGTACTGCGCAGTTTCCATATGTGTTTTGACTCACACATACCCTTATATGCATATGCTTAGCTTCTATTCATGGGTCTTCTTTAGCCTTTAATTTTTCACAGCCATTCTTGATGTAGCACTTGTAACTTAAGTATTTCTGTTGCGCATGGATTTGAATCATGACTTATGGCCTTTTCAATCTTGATTATTATCCACTCATATGATTAATACTGTACTAGTTTAAATAACTAGTAATTATTTATAAGTTAAAAGCTTGCATTTAATTTTATGGAATCAAAATCCTTGATAGCTAGTATTCAATAAAAATTCTGCTTGTCAGTAAAATGTTAACAAAAATTTTGATTTATTAACTAAAGATACGAGTATCATTGGTGTGATGGTGTGAACTATAAGAGGCCAACAGCACTTCCTGCTCCTCAATATATCACACTCTTAATGGAGTGGGTAGAAGCACAGATCAATGATGAGAACCTGTTTCCTGTTCAAATTGGTCAGTTAAATTACATACAATGTTATTTCATAGGCATTTGATCTGTTTTTCTTTCTCTTAGTTTCTACGGTAAGTTGTACCATTCATTCTAATTATTTTTTAAATAATGTACGGTAATGAATCTAAAAATGTTAATTTTTTTTTTATTATTACTCTAATTGAAAATGATTTTAAAATCTTTATCAACGTTCAATAAACAGAGCATTCCTCTATATAAATAACTGTGGCTTTAAATAATTTCTATTTTAATTTTTAAAACTCTTTTTTCCTTCCAGGTAAACCTTTTCCAAAGAACTACCTGGGTATAGCCAAAAAAATACTGAAAAGATTGTTTAGAGTTTTTGTTCATGTTTACATACACCATTTTGATAAGCTTTTGGCCATTGGAGCTGTAAGTTCTGCATTATAGTGTGTTCTTAATTTAAATACAATTATTATAAGCTGTAAGAGCTGTTAAGTGAAGAAAGCTTATTTTTAAACATCAGTTTAGCAGAATCCAATGCATTATTCACATACAGTGATTAGAAGTGTTTTGGACTGTTTTTCACAATAGTCAAGCAAGATTATCTATCAGAGAATAAATATAAATGCTGCTTGTATAATTTCAATGAAATTCAAAATCTTTTATTCTCTTATTGAAATTCAGTCTACACAAGTCTACAGTTCTTCCATTTCCATGCTTTGTTTTTTGTACGCCAATTATCTGCCCTAATAAGCTACACATTTATTTTAAATTGTCCACACTATGTAAGGAATTGCTTAAGATAAATTGATCTAATTATTTTGAATACAACAGAATTCTGAGGAATGCGTTTTTGATAGAGCTATTTTCTAAATTTCAGGAAGCCCATGTTAACACATGTTACAAACATTTTTACTACTTCGTTACTGAGTACAACCTTATTGACAAGAAGGAACTAGAACCTTTGGTATGTTAAATGTTTGCTTGTGGTTTTGTTTTTTTAAGTCATAATAATTTAAGATTTTTAAACAGTAAACAAAAATTATAGCATTAATTAATATTATCAATATCATGCTTTTACTATTTTGAGTGTATTTATTTTTCAGAGAGATATGACAGAAAGAATTTGCCACTGAACTTCAAGATACCTCCTGCTAGATAACATTTTTTATTAGAACTAGAAAAAAATATTATTATCATGGAACAAAAGTTTTTGTTTTCTTTGTAAACTTTATAGAAACGGAAGAATTTTAAAATTTCTTAGTCATTCCATTTATTTTTATTTATTTTTTTTTAAATATGTTCTTGGAAAAATTAGTGTAATTATAATTCTTTTAGTTATGTTTTTTTGTTCAACCTTCATTCTTCATGACTGTGTTATCCTTTTCACTTCACACTCTACCCAGCAGTGCTTCAAATCTGAGTAGCTGTTTAGCTACTTCAGACGCAAATTATCTTAAATGTTCCGCAAGTATTCTTCAACTCGTGAAGTACATTATTTTATCATTTTAAAAAAAGCAGAACCGTTGTGTTCTAGAGTAAAGAGGTGAATTTACAAAGTATCTTAAAAGTATCTTTATCAAGTTTTATCCATACTTGTTCCCTCCACAAAACTGTTTATCTAAGATGCTTTGTTGAAATGTTAACTTATCAATGTCCTCATTCATTGTAGAAAAATTGCATAGCATGTATTTTTTATTATCATATTGGGTTTTGTTTTTGTTAAACAATGTATTAATCCATTTAGTTTAGTGTGTGAACATTTATTTTTGGGTGGTTTGTTTTTTTTAGCATTTCGAACAAAACCAATTCCCCATGTAATTTTGACCAAAGGAGATTTAATGCAGAGGTGTAACTAATGGTACCTTACCTTTCAGAATGCTATTTGTGCCTATTAAACTTTTTTGCTACCGGGTATTGCTGTTTTATTTCATGTCAGTTTAGAGTAAATATTTATGTCAGCTTCCTAAAGTCTTTCCATAAACTATGAGGCCAATTTTATTAATTATTGTGTAGGAAATTGCAGCGTATTAACAATATGTGACTAGATTGAGCAATCTTTTTTTTTTTACTTCCACAAGAAATAGTGCACAAAAATTTGAATTAGTGATAGTATTCAATTTTTCCTTTGTAAATACAAAGCATTTTTTGGTATGTAGGGTTGATGCTGAAACAAAGTGTTGTTTTAAGTTGCAGATCATTTTTAATAATTTTAATTTAAAATAAAATCAACTGAATTACCATAGTTTATACCCTTGGTCTATTGGGAAAGGCTATTTTGGGTCGAGATAAATTACTCATCTTAAAGAGTTTTACAGTAGTTTAAAAAAAATTTAAGCATATTGATTTAAAACTAAAGCTTAAAATATGTTGCATGTAAAGACATTAATTTAATCACCATTAAGTTCTGCTGTACTTAACATTTATTTCTAAGTTTTGTATGTGTTAAAATAAAGATTAAACTCTCATTTTTCAATTAGTCACCTGTAAACGTATGGTTTTAACATCTAAAAATTGGTCCTATTTCTTCAGTGACCACACTAAATAATATTTATGCTCTGTGTGACTTTTATATGTCAGTTCAACCATTGGAATTAAGACTTTTATTAAGAGACAAATAAAAATCATCACTGAACTTGTACATGCAGAAGCTCATTAAACTTAATATGCACTGTTTTTAAGTTTCTTTGAATAACATGAATTTCTTGCAAATTTTTTATAACCTTGAATTATACAATACTAATATTTTGTTTTTGTCAATAAATGCTAGTCAGAAATTCATTTGGTTTGCCTCTATCCAAAATTGATGTGCTTGTACATAATATATTTTAATTACTCATGTTTATCATGCATTGTACAACTCGCTTCAATATTTAAATGTCCATTTTTATTTCAAAAATAAACTTCGCAATGCTATGAATTTTTTCAACTGAAACTTATTTCGATTCTAACAATACATTATTAGATATGCATGATTAAGTTTTAAGAAAACAAAATCATTCAGTAAAGCAGTTGTATATTTTCTAGTTTTTGCAACAAAAAAAGCCATATTTTGTCAAAGCCATGCTATTTTACACTCATCCATTTTAAAGTGGTGTAGTCCTGCCAATTACAATGTATGCACTTAAATAAATGTATTTTATATACAACAAAAACTTGTTCACTTTTATTTTTTATTTACTTTAATTTTTAGCACATACATAAAATAATAAAGTCTTGAAGGATTTTTTACAAGGACAAATGTGCTCCCCATGACATATTAGTCTTATTCCTATGTCATGTCTAAATGCTGTTAATAAATATTCACTTAGAACTTGAATTATTCAATGGTCTATTCACTGTAATACCCATAAAGTAAATTTGCATCCACTTGTCTACATAACAGTGATGAATTATATACTAATATAAATTTGTCTTACTCTTAGTCATCTCATTTGGACTAAATATAGTGACTACCCTTATTATAGATTACTCAGTGCCCACAAGTAATAATATGGAATTCAAGTTTTGAAGTAAAAATAACTTCATTTAATTCAATGAAAATTACTCACTTTTAGTTTGCATTTGAGTACTTGAATTGAGTTAATCTAAAACTAAGACACAAATTAAAACCAAAAATAACATTGAAATTATTTCATGAAAATTGAAATTCCAAGTTAGAAAAACTTGAATTGTTCAATTATTTTACAAGAGGAATCAGCTGCATTGAGTGCTACATATCAGAAATGAAAAAAGTCTGTCAGTTAGTCCAATGAGATACTATTATCAAAATCAAATAGTTGATTAAACAGAAGAATGTTATATACATAGGTTTTAAAAAAACATTTTGAGAAAATTTGTATGCATTATTTTACAATTCACTAAAACACAAAAGCTTCTGCAGCCGAATCTAAATTAGTTCCACTTAACATTGTCTGAGGGTTTTCAATTACGTTACGAAATTCTTCCAAGAAACGGGTTGCTTCTACTTCATTGACAGCCCTACTATCATAAGACAAGGTAACATTCATTTTTAGTTGATTGCCTTTAATGCTTGCCTCATGTCTGGATGAGCCTACAGCTAGAATGGCTAACTGGGGAGGATTTATCACAGCTGAAAATTCTGTAATCCCAAACATACCCAGGTTGGAAATACTGGAATAGAGCAAAATAATAAAATTAAAATTGTATTTGTTTTGCGAGGCACAGGTGTTTAATTTTTTTTTTTACAGTCGGTGAATTGTACGGGTCTACTTTAAACTGTTCTTGAACTTTTATTAAGCGAATGATTTCAAAAGGGATAAAAAAAATGTTAAGTCCTCAATCTTTTTACAATTGATATACCAGTATCTAAATACTTGGATAAAGATTTTTTTTAACCCATGATCTATACCAGGCCTGCACAACTCAAAATGTAAGGTGGGCTGTAATACTTTATGAAAAACTTGTGCTGGCCAAGAGAAAATAAGACAGGATTTGTGCGGGCCAAAAGAAAATAGGACAGGGCTTGTGCAGGCTAAAAGAAAATAGGACAGGGGGAAAGCTATTAAGAAAATAATAAGAATTAATAATATTTCTTTACTTCGCTGGCCGCAAAGTGGTTGCTGGGGGCCGCATGGCCCGCGGTCATATTTTGTGCAGGCCTGATCTATACCATAAGCCATAGGTTTCTAATTTCGATAGAACAATGGGAGGCGAAATAAATTACTTTAATATGGGTTATTTGGTTCTTAGGTTTTTTTTTAAAATTGTATTAGTATGATTAGCTTTGTTTATATCTGTATTGAATACAGTTTAAAATATAATTGGTTTTTAATTCCTACCTAAAACTTCCTCCTTGGTATTCATGTGGTAAAAGTTTTCCTTCTCTTGCCCTTCCAGACAACTCCTAGATTAAAATTATAAGAATGTAAGTTTTATTTTGTGTAACCATGTTTTATTTACACAGTTGTTTGTCCATCATTAATCTTAATGTAAGAGACAAAGCAGTGATTTATAAATAAAAATAATCCTTGTTAAGTCAGCACATTTACACATCTACTACCAGCCAGACATGGGACACAACAGCATTTCAAAAACACTTGCAGATAGCTTTTCATGGAATTATGTCATAATAATAATAATTGTTACCCTTGCAGCAGCCCCATCCCTTACTTTATGATGAATCTTACCTTAACTGTGCTACCAATTTGATCAACTGATAAATAGCTAGCACCTTTCACAATGGGGGTGATAAGACCATTGGGGGTAGCCACAGCCACAGAAATATCAACTGATGAAGACAGTCTAGGACCATCATTTGCCCAGATAGCATTGACTTTGGGAACCCGCTGTTGAAAAACATGTTTATTTATGAATTAGAAATGTTCTGATCTTGCTATTTTTTGCCTCTAGTTTTAAGATAAGATAAGATTCTTTTATTGATCAAAATAAATGGTAATGTTTTCTGATTACATTGTACATATTCATTTTCAGCACATAAATAAATACATATTTTAACCAAGATAGCATTTACAAATATAACAAGACATTTCAAGTATTTCTCAGCGTAGAAATCAGCCATCAATGAACTCCCTTAGTGACAATAATGATTTAGTGATCATTTAAATTTTGGAAACACTGGTAAATTTGTATAGACTAGGGAACAAAAGAATTTTTATATCTTTCTGTCATAACATTAAGAGAAAGAATTCACCCTGATCGAGCAGTTCTTAGATATCTGTAATGAAGAGGGTGGGATGTATTTCAAAATTTGGTTTGGTTTTACAACAGCATTTTTCTTTAAATAGTTCTTCAAGCGAAGGATGTTTAGATTGTGTGGTATTAATAGCTTTCTTGATTAGTCTATTTAATCAGTGGTTGATGTCAGAAGCATACCCACTCCAGCAGGTAATACTGAAGTTCAGTATGCTTCCAATTGTTGCACTATAGAATAAGTAATAACTTGTTTGTTAACGCTGAAATTGTACAATTTTTTAAGATAGAAAAGTCTTTGGTTGACTTTTTTTATACAGAAATTGGCCCTGTTCATGCCATGTTAGCTTATTATTAATGGTGACACATAGGTACTTATATGTCTCTACTTGCTCTATATTGAGATTTTTTATTGTGACCTCTGCCTCCAGAAATCAACAACCATTTCTTTTGCTTTTGAGACATTCACTGAAGAAAATTGTCATTGTACCAACTGATAAAGCTGCGGAATAAGCTTTCCTGTTCAGATATTAAGCCAGCTATCAGCAAATTTAATGATTGGAATAGTTTTGCTTGGGCTCTAAATATAATTGTTATATATTGTATTAATGGAGTTAAACAAAAAGCAACTTTAAAAAAAATTACAATATGAATTATGATGTCATTGGCAAATACAGAATGTTTTAGAAACAGAAATTATTCTTTTTTTAAATTATAAATTTTCTAATACCTGAAGTGCAAATGCAGCAGCTTTAATAATAAAGTCATTGACAGATATTTTTACACCATCATCTAGCAGAGTTTTTCTCAGTTGTGTCAAAGGTCCCATATTAGAATCAATGGATGCATATGCATGGGGTATAGTGGTCTGAAATGAAAATGATTTTTTTACAGTTTTTAACAGTACCGGTACTTAGTTTTGGTATTAAGCGCTGAATAACAACTACTTGTTTCTTACAATTTGGTGTTGTAAATATTTAGAGGTCATCCTTATATGATGTATGCATTTAGATAGTGCATAAAGTATAGGGTTCTCAACAAGTGCAATGTACTCAACAATAATAACATTAAATCTTAAAACATTGCAATCACAATTGTTGGAAGAAAAAAAAGCATGCTTAGTTACTCTGAAATGTTACTCTGAAAGCCTCAAACTGGCTTAGTTTTTTTTGTCCTGCATGAGAGAGCAGTTATGAATCAATTTTTGAGAGATGTCTTTTTATTATGCAATTTCAGTGTTTTTTCCTATGATTCATTTTAAACAAGCACTAGCACTAAGCCAGCAACCAATTCTGCTGGTGCTAGTACCCAGCGTTTACAGTCAATGGCAATTCACCCTTATTTAAACAAAACAATGTTACTAGAGCTTGTCATTAAATAATAATAATTTATGAAGACTTCTGTACTGTGTGAACCATAGAACTGTCAGCTGGAAACTTTAATAGTGTTACTAATTCAAACATGTAATTCACTTACTTTAGATTCCGTAAGCCGCTTTGCAATTACTCTTCTCATGTTGGTAAGTGGTATGTCAACAAATTTAGCTCCAGGGACTGGGGTAGATTTTTCACTTGCTTTTGGTTGTGCAGATTTAGCTGGGGCTTCTGGCTTTACAGGACTAGCTGCCTGCTGTGTGACTTTGTTTAGACTTTTAGACTCAATGTAGTTAAGCACATCACTGAAACAAAATTTAAATCAGCACTTTAGTGGCATTTTTTGCCCAGTTAAACTTCATTACAACTGAAAATTAATTAAAGAGATAATATAAAAATAGGACACCTCACCATCTTGAGATTTACTATGTTAGTTTCATTCTGTAAAAAAAAAACAGCATCAATTTTCAGCACTCTTGACACATAATAATGAAGTTAATCTTTCATTTCATGTTATATGTGGGAGGTCAAATGATCAGTTCATACAAGTTAAAAGGTCGAGTATCAAGAATATCTTGAGTTAATTCTTAAACAAAATGAACTTTAAAATAAACAAAGTGAAATAAAAAAATAACAAACCCTTTCAGGAGAGCACCTCCAGGACCTGAAGGTTTAATAGAACTAGATGTGATATTATATTCTTGCAATAATTTCTTGACAGAAGGTCCTATTAAATGGCTGAAAATAGACATTCACACTTTATTGACTTGTCAAAATACAGATAATGACTCAATGATACAACAAGACATCATCCTCCGTAATCATTAAGTTTAAGCACAAAACAGTAAATGCACCCACTTTGACTTTATGGGTTTGATTTTTGACCAGCGCATTTATATTGTTGACAGGACTGCTAAGCCTATGTCAAAATCACAGTCTGTTATGTGAATCACATTTATGTGACCATGAAATAAAATTTTAAACAATAATGAATACCAACCCATGTTCAACAGGTATATGACCTGAGCTAACTGCAGGTGCTGATGGAGGTGGAGCTAAGGTTTGTTGAGCTTGGGGAGCTGATATGCTGGCCTTAGGAGCTACATCTGCTGGGATTTGAATATTTTTCCAGTCTTCTCCTTCTTCAACCAGGAGTGCAATCAAACTGCCAACGCTGACATCTTTTGTATTGTCTGGCGCCTAATAAAACAATTTACACTTATTAACTTTTAATAGTCAAAGTAAAATCAGCCTTTTTTTCAACTTAAAAATTTATTAAACTTATTTCAGATCATTATGATGAAAAGGGAAAGAATAACTTACAATAATTTTTGCAAGGATTCCAGTTTCCTCAGTATCCATAGAAATAATTGCTTTATCTGTTTCAATATCACATAGAGCATCTCCAGGTGATACAGTGTCCCCTACAGAGATACATTTAGCATGTGGTTAAATAGTCCACCCGTATTGAATATTACTGTTAGATTCTATTTTTAGCTTATGTTCAGTTTAACTAACAGTAATTTAATATATCGTCTTCCATTTAGTAAAATATTTAAATGTTAATTTTCCCCAGTATATGAGTATAGATAGTAGTCTGCCGACAGTTACCTTCTTTCTTGTGCCACTTGATAATGTTGCCTTTTTCCATTGTTGGAGAAAGAGATGGCATGTCAAGTTTTATTGTAGCTGTGAAATTAATAAATTATTATGACTTACTTAATATGTTAACAATAGTGAAAAAATTGCGATAAAAAATATCAATATCATCTAGGAATAAAAAATATTTATTTTCAATTAGCTTTAGCACATCTACTAGACTTTCCTTAGTTTTAATATCCTTAGTTTTATCATAAGGATTTAAAACAAAAAATGTAAGTTCAATTATCAAGCCACATGTCATGTCCTCTTGATCATATCACTAATTACTAGTGAATAACAGTTATTATACCAGTATTCATATCTCTATTTTAAAACAAGTTTCTTAGCAAATCTTGTGTGTACAAGACTTATAAAACTGCACCATACAGTCAATTGCAGACTGATTAACAAAGCTAGCACTACATCACACAATGACTTTATTTGGCACCAGTGTAGTATCTGCTGATACCAAAACAATATTTTTACCATCAGAAAACTTTGCAAATTTCGCATTTGACAGGATTTGCAATATTTCCAACGTTTTGTTGTTTTAGAATCAACACATGCTGGTCGTAAGACAGTTAGTGGATTTAATTTGCCAGGACTAGCAACCGCGCTATTTCAAGGTTTGCATTTCACAGTTATCACTGCAATACACTATATACATTATAATGCAGTTATTCACTTTTTAAGTTTCTTCTGCAGTTTTAATCCCCTTTTTCCATATCCCTTTGTACGTCAGATCATTTTTTTTCCCTGGACACATCCTAATACAGTGTTAAAGACAATTCAATAAAAAGACAAAATTTTATGAAATATCGGAAAGTAATAATAGTAATATTATTAGTATTGCATTAGTAAAAAAATAGGCCTATACAATGCCTTTCTTTAATTCTTTGGCCGGGACTTTTTTTTATATGCCCACTTCACTATACTTAGACTATACTTTCATAATATAAAAAAATAACTTCTAAGGCTTAGGGACCATCCATAAATGACGTCACGCGCCTAGGGGGGAGGGGGGTCAGATTTGTGTGACGAGGGGGAGGGGGGGGGCTCAAGCAATGTGACGCCACAGGGAAAGAAGAATATTGTAGTAAAGAATTGCACTTAATAACAATAAATTAGACATTTTTAAAATTATTCTTTTATACAATTATAATTATTTTATTTTTAAACTGCTATCACTGAGAGAATCAGTATAGGTATCCCTGGTCCGAAGCATGGTCTCTGATCAAGTTACAGGATGCCAAGGAGGAGGAGAATCAGGATGTAGTTAGTTACAATGACAGATGTGAGAATTTATGGCTAAATCTGGACACGGGAATCATAGAATTAGAGCTACCGCGTGAAATTTGGATGGAACGAAAAAAAAAGGTTCACGGGAGTATCTTAGTAAAGGCTCTAGGGCAGGGATTCTTAACCATTTTAGCAGCGTTGCAGACCCACTCCATTTTAAACATCCTCCCCCCCACAAAGCGGATAAATTATATTGTAATAAAATTTTAAAAAATTAAATAATTTAGTTACCGTACTTTTATTTCTTTAATTAACTTTTTATAAACAAGGGAAAAAATTAGCAATACAAGCAATGTGCCAATAAAAAAATTCACCAGAAAAATATTTACCGCTGCTAATCAAAATGCAAAAAAAATATTTTTTTTAAAGCAGCAGCAACTATAGCAATGGTAGTAGTAGTAGTAATTACAATCAGTGGCATAGCAAGGCTAGCTTTAGATAAATATAGCTTCCTGTCACGTACAAAAGTTACTGAACACTTATTCAGCGTTGAAACGGCATGTTTCTGGCTTAATAATGAGGTAACCTAATTGCTGATGCATCAAACTTGAAATTTTAATAAAACAGGCATTTTGATTGGTTACATAGGTGGAAAATGTACTTGTCCATTGTTATCATTTTATGAAATTCGGTTAGACTGAGCAGTGTGTGCTAAGAATGCAATTTTTTGATTTGGTGTCACCCCCTGAGATGGTTCACCCGGTGCAGTCAGCATCCCCCTAGCTATGCCACTGAATACAATTTTCTGGTCTTCCACACCTCATGGCTGGGGAGGTACTTTTACCCCTGATTAAGAACCACTGTTCTAGTGAAAGTTTTTGACACTGGTGAAGTAATTTGATATCTACTGGAGGTGAATTTCTTAAGGGGTTGGAAAGGACAGTAGTGGACTTGGGAATTTTTATGAGGGGGGGGGGGGGTTTGCAGAGATTTGTGACATTATATTCGAGGGGAGGGGGGTTAACTTTTTGTGACGATGTGGGGAGGGTGGGTAAAAAATCGGCAAAATGTGCGTGACGTCATTTATGGATGGCACCTTAGGCCTAAGCTTCTAGTAACACTTAGTAACAGTAAGAATCATAGAATGACACACACACAACAGATTTTGACTTGCATACTCATACATGAAACTGATAATACTATATGAATATGACTATACTCACAATAGTATACATTACACTATACTATACTGACTATACTATACAAATACCTAAAATAGCTGCACTCGACTGAAATTGTCTGTTTTTTAAATTGCATCTCAATGTTATGCCGTCAGTTCGAAAATTAGTTAAACGAGAAAATGAAACCTTGCAAACCGAAAAACGATTGCAAAATTTCCTAACAGTAGTTGCCATTTTTTTCCCTACTATTGTAATTGTTGAGCTCTTCTTTAGCCAGGATTTCTCTAAGGACAAATTATCAAGTCAAACTCAAATGGGAGATAACTATATTTTATTTGTCTAGCTAGGTGCAAAAATGTTATTCTCTCAAAAGATTTTTTTTTAAATGAAACACAAACCAATTAAAAAAACAAACAAAAAAAAAAGCTCGTCAATTTGTCTTTCTTTCTTTTAATATTAAGTTACATATGACACGTCTCATTTTTCTAAATATAAAGCCCTTTTTGCCAATTGTTGAATAAGATAAATATAAATCTTTTATATTAAATTATATTTTCAACAATAATATTGGTGTCATACGGCGCGGCGATACTAATATTTAGGACTAAGATGATAGGCCCCTACTATTTTTGGGGGCCAGCTGTTAAAGAAAACAAGATTAAGATTCAGTTTTAGACACAATTTAAAAAGCTACAAAACTCCACTCCAGTCACTCCATCCCAGTGACGTCGCTAGGGTTAAAAAATCAATTCAGATGGCGTTTAATGATTTGAAGCTCCCAACTGTACTTAAGTACTCTTTCTTAACAGTAAACAGCTGTTGGGAACAGTGGCTTTAATTGAAAGGGGGAAAGTGCATAATTAAAGGCAGGATACCAGAGAGTATGTGGAATACATCACAATTAAAAAATTGCAACAGTGTTCCCATATTTTAATAAAATACACTTTCCCACATTTCTTTCCCTCGGTCATGAGAAGAAGAGAAATATCTTCAGTTCCTCTTTACCTACACACACATACACACACACACAACAGAGACACAAATTACTGACCGATAAACACGAAAAAAGGGAAAAGGTAATTTGATACGTTTTTAATTTACAAAAATAATTAAGATATTCGTCCAGAGTTCATAAATATGACTTTTAATGGTGAGCAGTGTTACTTTCAGGCATCTCGGAGAAAGTGAACTGCTCCCCACTTTTTTTTTTAAAAAAAGATATATAAATATATTATATATATATATATATATATATATATATATATATATATATATATATATATAGGGTGGGCCAATAAAAGTGAGAACATCTCGTATATATGAATGTGAGTTATTTCAAAATATAATTTATTAATTATAATTCTTCATGGGATTTTTTTTCCTTCAAAATATTTAGTTAATCAGAAATCATGTTCAATGTGTCCTCCTTGCTTCTCAACGACTTTTTCCAAGCGTCGACGCCACACGTTTATGTTTCTGTCAATGAAACGTTGCCCTAGATTTTACGAGATGCTCTCACTTTTATTGGCCAACCCTGTAGGCCTATATATAAATATAACGCTTCTGGTATGACTCGTAGACTGCTTCCTATCGGACTGCTTCCTAATTGACTGCATCCTAATGGACTGCTTCTTAATCAGCAAATTTGGTTTATTGAGGGTATATTACAAATAAGTCTAAATGTTTGAAAGAAATTATGGTTCAATAATGAGTTCAATAGCGCGTAAAATATAATTCCCGACAATTACGCTAAATGGTGTTTTTTTTTTTAAATAACATAACTGCAATGAAATCGTCGCAATCATCGATTAATAAGTGGTTGAGACATCAGAATATTTAATATAGTTCATGGGCGTGAAATAAAAAATGTGCATGGGGGAAGGTTGTAGCAAACATTGGGATTCTTAAATGTGCGTTACTTGAGTTCATGTTTTGTAAAGTAACTGTAACTTTAATAGATGGGAAGTTCACGCATTGCTGTTGCCAATGTTTGGCGTGCTATATCTAGTTTTTTGTTGTTGTTTTTTTGTAGAAGGCCTTGTGCCGAAACGTTCATATCTTATTGTCCTGTCTTTTAATTCAAGCTTCAACATACCTCGTTTTGCTATTTAATAAATAATTAATGTTTTTTATAATATCTCATGTTTTCTTAACATATTTATGCCATTCGTATAAGATTTATAAAAATGATCAGTTTTAAAACCCATACAAATTATAGACATTTCTCCAAACAGTATTTTTCCCCCCTCTTTTTGACTCTGGTAAAACTTGGAAATATAGAAATTTAGAAAAGATAACTACTATACGTAAGTTTTTGTCTTGTTGTTTTTTTTCATTTGCATCCAAATCCTAAAATGTTGTTAGCAGTGATTGTGATTGAACACTTTTTCGAAGGACTTTTGTTTTGATGAAAATTCTTTTTTTCAAATTAAGTCGTTTACCCCAAAAATAGTTTGTTTAAAAAAAAAACACATCTTTATTTATTAACATAAAAAAATATTTGTATAGATCTAACACAACCAGGTCAAGCAGGGCCGTCGCTTTACATTTCAAAGCCAATTTTCGGTTAATCCCTCCCCTCACCCTCACCTTGAATTAAAAATTGGTCATTAAAAATGTGTCAACATCACAACCGTAAGCCACTAAAATATCATATGCCCTCTGCAGCCGAATGGGCTGCATTGCCCATACGATGTTTCCGACGTCAAGTGAAACCTACATTTTTAACTAGCATCTCTCCGGTTGTTGTTCAATTAAGTGTGGAATGATGCAAAACTAAATTCGGGTATTTGTACTAGAATTCATTCTTGCATTTTGATTTTATCAAACAAATTCTGGGGACTACACTATTTAAGAGGCTAGGCTAGAGCAAAATGCATACCCTCAAGGGTGCCATCTCTGGAATGAATTTAGTTCATGTTGGGCTGGCGTGTGGTTAGAGATGTCCCGGATTATTATTATGTCTAATTTTGGAGCTTCCCGCCTGAAAGTCTACAATTCCCCCTCCATAAAATAATAACACTCCCCCCCCTTCCTCCCCCCCCCCTTTTTTCGGTAATTGTCTGCACTGAAAGAAACACTGATGATGAGGCATGAGAAATCCCCCCCCAAAAAAAAAAAACCCCCCCCCCCCCTCCCCCCCCCCCCCTTTTTTCGGTAATTGTCTGCACTGAAAGAAACACTGATGATGAGGCATGAGGGGAATATAAGGGCCAAATAACATCGTATAAATTGATTACTAGTTAAATCTGTAATAAGTGTCATAATTGCAATATCATTATGATCCAACTTTTAAGAATTTGTTGATGATTTATGTTTCGGGGAAACCATTTTGCTGGTTGTTTTTGTTTGTTTTTTTTTCTTTTTTTAATAAAAATTAATTGATTTTGTTTCAGTGACCAAGCGCAACGTCAATTTTTATTTTTAAATGTTTAGTAACTCCAAAAAAGTGAATTGAAAATATTACAGAAACGTAATTAATCTTTTAATTTAGTAAACGAATTTAATGATAACTCTTATTATATAAGACACCAGAAATACTCGGTACTGATATGAATTTTAACAATTTACACGAGGTAAATCCAAATAATCATTTCTAAGGTTTGTGTGTGTGAAAAAAAAAGGGTGGGGGGGGGGGGGGGGGGGGGGGTTAAAGTATGGAAACTAGTAGTGACCACTACTGTGTGTGAGTGTGACTGACAATGACTGACAAGTTGCGAGTTGTACCGTTGTAGTCAGTGTTAAAGTCAAAGTCAGAGCATGGCTGATGGTATTGGCAATTGGCTGCAAATGCAATGCTGTCTGAAACAGTTTTAAATGGCCATTCAAATTCTATAGACATTAATAATTATCGGTAAAAGTGCAGTTCAGGCAGGTGCGTATATTATTTCTGTTTGAATCTCTTATTTTCCCGTGTAAACTTATGTTAATTCTTTATAAAAAGTATTTTAAAAGTTATATCCATAATTTTTTTGGAATACAACAACAATTTAACAAATTTTACGAGATGAAAAAAGTACATTTTTATGAATCTTTCGTGTTTTACGGAGCCATTGTGGTAAATCAAGGATAACTCTTCTGTCTTTAAAGATACTTTATAAAAGTTGCCCAATCGGATGAATCTTGTTAAAATAAAAGATGTATTTATTTTATAACTTTACTATCAACTAAAACCGGAGTTGCCCGGGGCTGCATTCAGACAAACCATCTGCTACGTCCTTTTAGTTCACATTGTTATTAAAGGAAATGTCAACAATAAAACAACAACACTATAGTAAAAATAATAATAATTAATTTGTCTCCTATTAAAAACAATTAAAATAACTTATGTAAACCTTTCGTTTTTCCCGTTTTCCGATGGCACCCGGAAGGATCATGATGGGATCCCGAACCCGATGTGATTCCGATAGAATCCTGGTCATGGTGGGATCCCGATCCCGGTAAGATACCGATCCCGGTGAGATCCGTTT